ATTTGTGTTTTAGTTTTAACTTTGTAAAACTTAATAAAAAGAACAGTCCCCTAGAAAGAGCCGAAGACCATAAAACGTACAGGGTTTCCTGTTTCTGCATTTTTCAGCATCCACTGCCCGGGGGTGGGGGGTGGTACCGGTCCCCTGCAGAGACCATCGCCCCTCCTACCTTCTGGTTTCTGCAAATCTCCCGTTTTACTTTAGCCAACCGTTCTCGCTGCTCTCCCGAAAAGCAGACTCTTTGGTCCCCACTGCTGCGGGATGAATACAAGACTACTGCAAAACAATACGTTGTTTGTTTATTTTGTTCACAGTTAAACACAAGCAAACTGCCTTTGACAGATTAGAACATTCCAGTTAGGATGGCTAACGCCCTCCGTTTGGTTTTTTTTTTCTTTTCAAAGTTCTCTCTTAGCTCAGATTGTACCATTTCATTATTACCATTTCATATTTATGGCATTCTGTTTTTTTTAAATGTCAATTATTTGTTTTTGTTTTTTTTTAAATCATGCTTACAAAGAGCGAGGCAGGAAGCAATGTTAACCCTTTGACAGAGAGCCTTTTTTGTAAAGGTTTAACTAAAAGCAGTCAGATTTTTTTTTAAAAAAAAAACACATTTCCAGGTTTATCAATGAGATCTTTTTTTCACAACAAACTTTTAGACGTCGGTTGTGGGCCCGACCTCTCTCATGATTTCGAAAAAGAAAAAGGATTTCCTGAACGGGTCTTTTTCCTCCCTAAATCTCTATAGTCCAACTGGGGTGAGTGGGAGAATCTGATCGAAAGATGCCCTTTTTCGGAGCGGGGGGGGGAAGGAACACCCGCAGTCACACCGACATGGGCAATTTTGGTGTTTAAATTTTTTAAAGCTGTGTTGACACCGAACGAGGGGACAACAGCTTTCAAGGGACAGGCAGGAGAGATGCAATCGGATTTCCGATATGGAAAAAATCTCCAAAAGCTGGTTCTTTGGAGGGAATGGCTGAGGATGGGGGGCAATATGTGACGGTTTACGTCCCACGAGAGATACTCTGGGATGGAGGCCGATGTACTATAGAGAATGGGAGGAGTGCCACCTATAAATGCTCTTCTGCATAAAAGATTCCCCCTTCCTTTTTTTTCCCCAAAACTAGTGAGCCCCCTTGTTACCCATCTGCCACCACGAGATCACATTCGAGTCCATTTCATAGCATTTATAAGCTTCTTCTACGCCTATCCGTCAAATCCATTATTATTATTATTATTATTAAAGTGAGGTTGTCCAAGACGGGTCCAAAGGGAGATTTTTTTATTTTCATTTTTGGAAGGCGGCTGCATCAGAAATGTAACAAGAGACCACCGGGAGGAGGGAAACAAACCGGTGGCTTTTGGGGTGGGTCTCTTAGCTACGTCCTCTCGGGCCAGAGGGCCTCTGGGGCTGTTGGCCGCTGGAGGGAGGACGCTCTGGCAACGAAGAGGACAAGAGGAGGACGTGGCAAGGGTTGAGTCAGAATGATGGATCCCCGTGAAAAGCAGGGTTTAATGGGCTTGTGGCTTTTCCAACTGGGGCAAGGCCTGTGCAAGAAATTAACCCAGAGGACAAGAGGAGGACGTGGCAAGGGTTAAGTCAGAATGATAGATCCCTGTGAAAAGCAGGGTTTAATGGACAAGAGTCTGACGCTTGTGGCTTTTCCAACTGGCAAGGCCTGTGCAAGAAATTAACCCACTTTTCGGGGGAGACGACGACGTGGGAGAATTTAAAGATCCAGCTGCCAACAAAGTCATGGGTGGGCAAATACCCACCTTTTCCATGTGCACACACACACACACTCCCAAAATGTCATTTTAAGGCACGCCCTTTCCAAAGCCTTTTTTTTTCCTGCTGGAGAGGACGGGTTGGATTTCAAAACTCCTGCCCCAACAGAGAGACAGATGCCAGAGACCTAATGCTGGATCGACAGCCGGGCAGCCACCAAAGAGTAACAGAGCACCCCATTTAGAGTCGAAAGACCTGGTAAGAAAGGCCTTTCTCTCGTTCTCGTCCGAAAGGACGCAAAAATGTCACCAAGGGACCTATTCTTAGCTTATAAGACGTCACTTTCTTGAAAACGGGGGGATTTTCAGCCAAAGTCCCTAATCGTGACCAAACGCAGCTTCCCAGCCATCCCTCAAAAAAAACCCCTCTTAAGAGGAACACCATTTATTTTCTACTTGAAAAGACCCACAAGTGGGGGTTAGTTTGATCAGCTTATCAGATACATTTAAAAAAAAGGGGGGGGAATGAAAACGGCGGTAGTGTTCCAAGGAGACCAACGTCTGGGTCTCCCCCTGAAAAGTTCTAGTTTGTGAGAGTGACCTCGACACTCGGAAATGTTAAGGACAGCACAGGTCAAGGATGCTTTGGGGAGGGGGGAAGAGAGGGAAGGGCGTTCTTTGAATGCCCCCGGGCACCCTTTACGGCATCCTCCTCAAGAGTCAAGTCCAGCCTACTCAAAAGGAGCCGGGAAGAAGCAGGAGGTCAGAAGGAGGGCGAAAGGAGAGCCAACCCCCCCCCCCAGGACCATACTTTCACAAGGCAAGACCTTCTCCTGCAGAGGAAGACCGGCGATCCAAGTCACCCGGGGAGGGGGGGGGGAGAAAACAAAGGCTTGCCTTCCACAGACACAGGGAGTGCCTCGCTCGGCACCATCCCTCAGGCGAAGAGCCTCATATTGCACACGGGTCCACTGGAGGCAACCCCTCGGGGGGTGGGCCCAAAGGGGGCGGCGAGAGGTGTGGGGAAAACCCCGACCGCTGTCCGGCCAGCATCTCCTCGGCGGGCTCTGGCACAGCGGAGGGAGGGACCAGCGGGGCGAAAAACACGCTCTCGGACCGTTTCCGGACCTCCCGGAAGCCCGTTTCGCGCCTCCTCCAGCTGAGTCCGAGTGACCGAGCAGTCCCAGGCCCCGTTGCGCCGAGCCGAGGGGGCTCCGCCTCCTCCAGCTGAGTCCGAGTGACCGAGAAGTCCCGGGCCCCGTCGCGCCGAGCCGAGGGAGCTCCAGAAGAAAGAAAGGAAGGAAGGAAAAAAAAAACCTGAAAGCTTTTAGTTAAAACGTGCAATCAAGCCCTCCCTGTTCTATGCCAAGAATATGAAAAGTAACACTGATTTCGACCCGCTTCCTTTTTAGCTAGGGCCATGATGCGATTCGTTGTAGTCCATTATGTGAAGCTGCCCCACGCTGCCTTCTTGATTCCTTCGGGAGGGGGAAACGGGGTCCTCCGGGGAAGGGAGGGCCTTGGCGTCCGGCCGGAACTCTTTGCACAGTTCGGTCTTCAACGTGTCGCAGAGGCCGCTGATGGCCGCCCCGTCCTCCTCGCACTGGCTCTCGCTCTTGTGGCGAAACAGCTCCCGCGCCTTCATTCCCAGGAAGCTCTCGGAGCTCGGGAAGGAGCCCACCATCAGCTGGCCCCCGCCGCCGCCCCCGCCACTGCTGGGGGGAGCCTCCAGCAGGGCCGAGACCTCCCAGCGGTTGCTGAACTGCCCGGCTCTCGGCCCGGAGGGGGGCTTTTCCGGGGCGGGCACGTCGCTGCTGTTGCTCCGGCTGCCCCGGGGGCTGGGAGGTTTGGTCTCGCCGTTCTGATCCGCCGTTTCTCCACCGCGCCCTGCGACGGCGTTCGGGCCGCCGCTGTCGCTCCCGACGGCCAGCCTGGAGAAAGACACACACAGAGAGAAGAGAAATCAGCGGAAGGGGCCGATGGGCTGGCTAGGGGCCGGCCGTCGGCAGGTTAGAAGATGGGAGAAGGGCCAACCCAGAGAACCTTCTGAAGGTATGTATCACAACTCGGCTTCATCTTTTCTTCAGGTCAAACCCTGCCAGCATTCAAATTCTCCTAAGAGGCCCATGAACTTAAAGATCCTTCGCCATCCCTTCTTTGGGCACCTCTCCACAGTTCAGGCCTCTGGTGGTTTATCTACAGCACTGGCCAATGATCGGCCAGCCCTTTCTCCTGGTGGCACCAGCGCTTGCTCACAGCGGCACAGGGTGGCAGGGCAGGTGACCCCCATCAACCACGCCCGGTCGAGGCCATCTCAGCTGACCCTCTCCCAAAAGGCACCACGAGGATTCAAGCTCGTGGCCCCTACCGCTCTACAACCGGGCCCTCCTCCCTAGGAAACACGCTGAGGCTCCCTTAGAAGCATCTGCAGACAGAAAGTCTTTGGGGAGTAGACGGGGGTGCCCTGACCCACTGAACTGCTGGCTGAAGGAAGCCCATGGCCCACCCCACAGGACTTAAAGCCAAACCACCCAGTGCCAACCTCACTAAAAAAAATCAACAGAAAGGGCTACTGAAACAAGGTCAGTCAACGCGAAACCAGAATTCTCTACATCCCAGATGCCAGAGCTTTCCTTCTTGGTTTATTTCTGGATCATGAGCAATGCTTATTTATCAAGAAGAACCCAAGTACGCTACCCGTTATTCCCCTTTACCTTTCTTCCGTCGAGTCCGCTGGCTCCGTTTTCTTGTCGTCCGCGTTCTTCAGCAACCTGTAGTTCTCCAGCTGACCGTACAGCTTTAAGATCTTCATCTCAAAGGCCTGCGAGATCTTCTTTTGGCCCTCGTACCGGCTCTCGACGGCCTGGAGCTGGTCCCTGAAATGAAGCCGGGTCTATGACAGTTCCTGTCCGCTTTCCACCACCACCACCACCCCGCGGGTCTTTAAGGACTTTCCTTCCCCTCGAGACCTCACTCGAGGCAGCGCACAGAAAAGATGACGCTACTCTCGGTTTTACAGCTCAGAAAAGTGATTTTTCCAGGACCAGAAGGCGCGAGAGTGGTTAGGGATCAAATCCAGGTTTAAATTATTTGACTCTCCCAAGTCTTGGATATTAACTTACTCTGTTGCTCTCATTTTGACGTGAGCAACACGTCAAGGCAATTATGTGTTCATAGCCATTGGGGGGGGGGAGGAGCAGCAGCCTACTGATAAACAATACATGAGTTCTGACTGAAAAGCACAGGCAGTCATTTGGGAGCGACAGGGGATCATGAAATCAGGATGTGGCACAGTGGTTAAACTGCAGTACTGCAGGGAAGACTCTGCTCACAACCTGAGTTTGATCCCAACGGGCTCAGATAGCCGGCTCGAGGTTCACTCAGCCTTCCATCCTTCCAAGGTTGTTAAAACTACCACCCAGCCGACTAAAGCAGAGGGCAATTGTAAGCTGCCCAGAGAGGCTTTAAACGCTATGGAACGGTATATAAGCAGCATATTTGTCTTTCTTTGCTTTCTTTCCTTATTAACATTCTTTTTTTTAAATCCTATCCCCCATTCTCACAAAACTCCTTGATCTTCAGAGTAACAGAAGTAACAAAAGGATTAACCTTCCTGCATATTCTCCTGCCTGCCAAGTTTCTCACCAAGCTTGAACAGCTTCTGACCTTGATCTCAGCTTTCAAAGCACCGTTTGCGAAGAGCCCCCCAAAAGATAAGAAACAAAATGTATACTAGAGATGGGCACAAACTTTGGTTTGGAGGTCTGGCCCAATTCATCACCATGCCTGCAACCGTCGTGCGCCTCCTAGGGAGGCGGGGAGGGATCTGTGCGAGGCCCGAGGAGTGCAGGGGAGTGCTGGGAAGGGCACCGTGCCCGCACAACCTCTGTGCAAGCGTGGCAACAAATTGGGCCGGACTTCCAAACTGAGGCCCATGCCTATCCCTAATTTATACACATGATGGGCACCCCTATAAATGGGTTGAATATCAGCCTTGGTTTCTTAAGCCATTACCAAACATAATATAATACAGTTTTTTCTTTCACAACTACCAAGCCCATCTTTCATTCCAAGGCTCAAAGGTGGGTTTTTAGCCATGGTGGGGTGGGAGTGGGTGTGGGGGTGAAGAGAGAGGAAAACACAAGTCTACCTGGCTTTCAATTTCACATCCTCCAAGTACTTCTTCTGCTCCAGCAGGAGGTGGTCTCTCTTTGTGAGCTGAGATTCCAGTTCGACGATTCGCCTCTGAGATGCTTCCAGCTGCTGACTTTGCTGCTGGACACAAGACTTGGCTCGCTCCAACTCCTTCCGAAAGGCGGTCTGCTTTATCTCTACTTCCTGAAAGGCAAGAAAGAGAGAGAAGCTGAATCTCCAGACACACAGTAAAGAGAGTCAGACAAGGAGAACAGAAAGAGGGGTCTGGCAGAAGAGCTCGGAGCCGGTTTAGCGACGGAACTGCTCCAGTCAATTCAGTATCAGCCCTACAAGGTAGGAGTCATCGAGAACAGGTAAAATACCTTTACAGACAGACCACTAACAAAACCATCAAACAATGAGCGAACTTTCACGGATCAAGAACGACCTCTTCGTCAGGCTTGTCCCAGTGTGAAGGACTTGAAAGTCCAAAAGTTAAAAGAACCATCACGGCTTCCCTAAGAAAGACACGTCAAGAACATTTGGACTTTACATCTAAAAGTAACTGTCCTGGCGAAACCCATCACGCCAAGAATTTTTGGACCTGAGCTTCTTCACAGCCTGATAAAGTGGTGTTTTGATCCATGAAAGCTTGCGTATTGTACGACAAAAATTTTTTAGCAGTCTATAAAGGTATCGCCTGTCCTTGCATTTGTATTTTGCTCTGTCCCAGAGCAAGGGAAGCAGGACAAAAAGGAAGGGCGTCATGGATTTGTACCGACGGTATCTCAACGTAAGAGTGTTTACGTGCACAACGCTGCTGCTAAAGTGACCGTTTCCAATGCAAAAGAAAAGCATGAAATACTGCTATGGGAAACCCCAGGTCTTCTTTGTAAACTAGGAGCCCCGGAGTGCAGTGGTTCAACTGCATTAAAGACTCTGCTCCCAATCCGAGTTCAGTCTGAATGGCCTTAGGTAGCTGGCTTGAGGTTGATTCAGCCTTCCATTCTTCTAAGGCTGGTAAACTGAGTGCCCAGCTCGCTGGGTGGGTGCGTGCGCGTGCGTGTGTGTTGGAGGAGGCAATGTGTAGCTTCCATAATTGAATTGCAAACTGCCCAGAGAGTGTTTTCAGCGCTGTAAGGTGGTATACGAGCAAAACGCTTTGCTTTGAAACTGGAATAAATCACAAAAGGCCAATAAGACAGAGAAGCCGAAGCCTGCAATTATTATTAAAATGTTTTAAATGGCAACAACAACCACATAAGCCGCACACGGCTGTCCAATCCGCACCACAGCTCCTGTGAGGGAGCTAACTGCCCCCAGTGAGATCACACACTTCTAAATCAAGGGCGAGGCCCCGTAAAAAAGCGTGTCAAATTAGCTAGCAAGATCTCAGTTTTACTCTTCCGGCTCCAGGAATGCTTCGTTTTCAGCAAAGGAATCTGAAAACTTCCCAAGAAGTAGAAATATTTCACCACGCAGTTGGATGACCCGGGACCCGCTCTCCCGCCTGTTATCTCCTGGTTTTCGTCTTCTGTGAATCCACCCGCTTTTCACAGAAGACGTCCTGCTTGCCCAACCCCCTCCACAATCTACAGAGCAGCACCGCCGGCATAAATATCGCATGAGAGCTGCACCTTTGTTGTGTCCGTGTGCTTGTGCTGAAGCTGCTCCAGGTATAACTCGTTGACCTCCCCGAGCACCAGAAGCTGCCTGTTCAAGAATTCCATCTGTTGCTGGACCGACTCGCTGTTAGAGAGCTGAAGAAAAGGGACTCGTTAGAGGCTACCTCGAAATGCCACGGCATTGCATAGAGAAGCCAAAGGTTGTTCACATCGACAGCAACGGGAACACGGCAGAACACGGCTCGTGTCTGCATAGAGGGAAAATACAGTATCGTGCAAGGAAACCGTTGCTTTCTCAGAAGAAACTGCCGGCTTAAATCACACACACACACTGAATATCCAAAGAGTTTCTGCAGAGTTTTCAGGTTAGACACCCATCCATCCACACTCTCCAGAGTGGCTAGCTTTGCTTTACAGCCAACACCGTTCTGCATCTTTTAATCCTGTTGTCTGAAACACACACACACAGACAGACAGACAGACAGACAGACAGACAGACAGAGAGAGATGGGATGACTCTGCTCTTCTTACCTTTTGAGAAACCTGACTCAGCAGCAGCTCCGTGTGACACACCTTGTGGCTGGCTTTCTTGAGGTCCAGCCGCAGATCCGCAATCGTGCTATGGCATTCTTCCAGTCTGGTCTGTTTGAAAAGCAAAGCGGGTGAGGGGGACGAACCTGCTTAGTGGGGGGGGGGGGAGGTGTGGAGTCAGGAAGTCGGTGTTTCCGGCTCATGCTGATGGGGAACAAAATTTAAACTCTCTTGGAAATTTGCTACAGCAATTCTGCAGGTCACGCCCAAGTATATGTTTCCTGATTTGCCTCTGGAGAAAACCTACTGTTTGCCATTTACAGAACATGTGAAGCCGTGCATTACTATGACGGACACACGGAACCACGTGACAGAATGGCAACATTTTCCAGAAGATACTCAGAAGTACCCTTCCCTTCCTCTAGGGGGAGCCCTGGGAATTTGTGCCGCTGGCCCAAGGCCACCCAGGCTGGCTCTCCTCCTCCCAGGAAGAGCGGTGCAGGGAATCGAACTCCCAACCTTCAGCTCCACCGTTGGAGACCTAAACCACCAAGTTTGCTCAGAGGGGCCGGTTCTACCTTCAGCTCCTGGTTCTGGTTGTAATACTCCTCCCGTTCGTGCTGCAGCTGGCGGATCTGGTTGTGAAGCTGGGACACCACTCGGTCGTGCTCCTCCTGGAAGGTGCGGTTCTTCGCCTGTTCCTTCTGCAGGCTGAGCTTTAAGGCCTGGATGTCTTTCTCCTGGAGCCTCAGCTGGTCTTTCTGTCCAAAAAAAGCAGAGAAGTCGGAAAGTCAAAAGGCCCACTCTCGGATCTGCGGCCTCTTCCCGCAAATCGCAAGGCGCCGCGGTTTTGCTGCCCGGCGTGCGTGATCTGAGAAAGCAGGACGTTTGGCAAACATCAACTACATCTCTTAAACAAACGGTGCCACCGAGAACATCTAACCCGGGCTGAAAAAGAGAGCCCTCCGTCACACAACGGGGCAGAATTCTCTCCAGGGGCCTCACCCACCATAGCTGCGTTGTGTTCTTCCAGGGCGGCGGCCTTGATCACCTTCCGCAAGAGGCGCCGGTTGCGGAGCGCGTGCTGCTGCCGTTTGAAGCGCTCGTACAGCAGCTGGTTGTGCAGCAGGTGGAGCTGGTTCCGCAGAGTGTGGATCTCGTCCGAAGGAGGGGAACCTGCGGGGACAGCGGGACGGAGGGTGATGCTCCACCCGACGAAGCAGCGCAAGACCACAGAGGGGGAGGCCGGATCTCGGAACTCCGCATAGCATCAGAAAGAAACTGGACACAAACTCAAGTTTAATCCCGTGGATTTTCACTGTATCTGCATTGATACGGGTGTCCATCCCGGGCATCAATTTTATCTCAGCTGTTTCTCTCTGTAAGCCTTGATTTGCAAGGATTAAGTGGCTAGGTTAGAAAAGAATTTAAAAAATCAAGCAAGCAGAGGGAAATAGCTGAGATAAAATGTATACGCATGATGGAACACCCCTATAAATGGACTGAATGTAAGCCTAGGTTTCTTAAGTCATAACCAAACGTCAACACTATGCTGTCATCTAGCGTTATTTTTCTCCGCAGCTACCAGGCCCTTCTTTTATGACAAGGCTCAAAGGTAAAAAAAAGTTTCTGCAATTCATAATGGTTTAGATCTCTAGCTGCGTAGCCAGAGAGAGGTTGGGGGTTCGATTCCCCCATGGGGCCTCCTGGACAGGGGCTGGACTGGATGACCCCACACATATAAAATGCACTCACAATAATAAATAATGATACTGTATTCAGCTGCCCTATAGTGTAAAATACATAAATCTGATTTATGGTATTCCTGTTCAGGGTTTTCCAGGTAAACAGGGCTTAGAAGTGGTTTCCTGTCCACCTATTTCTGGGGCACCCTAGGATGGTGCAGCTGGCCCAAGGCTACCCAGCCTGGCTCTTCTCTCAGGAGGCCCCGTGGTGGAATCAAACTCCAAATCTCTGGCTCCCCAGCCAGAGACTTAACCCACTGAGCTCTCGAGACGACAGTCACCAATATATCGGATAAATTTAAGGTGCGCCAGAGACTTAACCCACTGAGCTCTCCAGGCAACGACAGTCGCCAATATCTGGGATAAATTTAAGGTGTAGCTGGAACATGCAGGGTGCTTCTTCTGCGGATTATTCTGATATTTGGCTTACTGTGGCCACAGCCAAAGGAGAGCGGGAGTTCAGCCTGTTCTAGACACAAATTTATCATCGTCAAGCTACTAAGTAAGGAAGATCCTAGATACAGCCGGAAGTAAGAGGAGCCACGGAATCAATGCAGCATTTGAAAAACAACCGCCGGGCAGATTCTTCAGCAGAAGGGACAAAAAAAACACACACTTGATTTACCTCCAAAGTGGGTCCAGTCAGCTGATTTGCTGGGCAGGGGTAATCTGAAACAAGTAAAAATGGTTGAGATTGTTTTTAAGGGTTACTGGCTTTTCTTTATTCGGCTGCATTTCGATTCACGTACACAGTTTGCTTTTGAGTGTGGATTTTTACGCTTAACGCATTACGTTTTCAATTCTATTCTTTTTAATATCGTGCGCCCCACCGTGGGTCGTCTTATCGGGAGAAAGGTGACCTATATAATCAACAAGGAAGCAAGCAAACTAGAGAACGGGTGTACCCATTCACAACTCTCTTACTTCTGCCAGCCTTGGCCCAGCCCTTCGAAGCGGCCGGGGAGGCCCGACGGCGAAGCCTTACTTGTTCAGCTCTTTGCTGTGGGCGTCCGCGCCGTACTGGATCAGCCGGTCGAGGACTTCCAAGGGGGAGGTGGAGAGGGCACCGTCTTCGTTGGCACCCCCTTTGGCCTTCTTCAGCAGCTCTTCGGTCTTTTTGCTGACAAACAGATAGGCCGTCTTGGGCATGGCCATCTCGAACAGGTGCTCGTAATCCGGGGACGGCGAGCTCCCGAACCCCATCCGTTGGCGGGCTGGAATCTTGCAAGGGCTCGGAGCGAGAATGCCGGGCTCCAGAGAACCCCGGTCGTCCCTGTGGCCGGAAGCGTTCTCGTCCGGGTCACGGCTAGGCCGGTCGATGGGGGTGAAGGTCTGCTTAGGGGTGTCCCGCACGCCTTCCGAGCCAGACGGGTCCAGAAGGGAGGACGCCAGGGCTTCCGAGCTCTGGCTCTGCCCCTGAGCGCCCGGGGCTGACAGCTGGGATTTCTTAGAGCTGGAGAGACTCTCGTTGGAGTGGTAGAAAGGAGAGTCGAAACCTCCCCGAGGCACCACCGGCTCAACATCTCCCGTCGTGATCTCGAAGATTTCTTTTGATATGGCATCTGAAGAGCGGAAGAAAGAACCTCAGCACAAAGGGAACCCGGCCCTCTTTCTGCGGGTCACTTAAAGGGAGAAAAACCAGTCAATCCGTCCCATGTAATGACTGCCACAAAGGCCAACACGGAAAATACCGTATTTTTTGCTCCATAAGACGCACCTTTCCATAAGACGCACCAATTTTTTAGGAGAAGAAAACAGGCAAATATAATGTTTTCTTCACTCCATAAGACACAAAGACTTTCCACCCCCCTGTTTTGTGGGGAAAAAGTGCGTCTTATGGTGCGAAAAATACGGTAATTTTAGCTCTCTCGCATCAGGCTTCTTTTCTAACGCCGGGGCCGTGCATGTATATCACCCTACGACAGCTCAGAAAACTGAGCCAAGGAAATCCGAGTTCCCTACCCAAAAAGCTACGACCTACAGCCAATTTAAATCGAAACGCATTTTCGTACTGATTTTATTTACCGGTTTGAACAGAAGACTTGTTTAATTCCTTTTTTAAAATATCTGTTTGCTTACGGTTTTTAGCTTTTAAATAACATCTCTTTAATGGTATCAGTCACCTTGTGTCCTTTTAAGGAGAAAGCCGGGTAAAACTGTTTCGAATGAATGAATGGAATGAAAACTCTGCTCACGATTCAGGTTCAATCCCAGGGAGCCGGCTCGAGGTTCACTCCGCCCTCCCTCCTTCCGAGGCTGGTCAAATGAGTCAACTTGCTTAGGAGGGGGCAATGTGTAGCTTGCATAATTACATTGTCAACGGCCCAGAGAGTGCTTTAAGGGTGATAGAGAAACAGCTCGTTTGGCTTGCTTCGCTTTTTAAAGCATGGGGTAGAGGAAAGGCTGTGTGGATTTTAAAGGCTGAACTTAAGTCTCAGCCGCAACCCTTACCTTCCTCTCTGTCCTTCTCAACGCTGTCTTCAAAAGAGGCCTCCAGATCCCCTAAGATGCTGGGAAGATCACTTAAAGTTACCGAATTTTTACTGCCGTGGGAGTCTGGAAGGGAAGGGAAAGTAAGACAAAAAAAAAGTGACGCGACAGCAGGAAGTATCGCTGCCTCCGAGCGGGCGCCCACCACACCGCCGAACCACATCCCGTCGTGATCTCGAAGATTTCTTTTGAGATGGCATCTGAAGAGCGGAAGAACGAACCTCAGCACACAGGCGGTGTTGATTTCCAAGGCTGAACCTTAAGTCTCAACCGCAACCCTTACCTTCCTCTCTGTCCTTCTCAACGCTGTCTTCAAAAGAGGCCTCCAGATCCCCTAAGATGCTGGGAAGATCACTTAAAGTTACCGAATTTTTACTGCCGTGGGAGTCTGGAAGGGAAGGGAAAGTAAGACAAAAAAAAAGTGACGCGACAGCAGGAAGTATCGCTGCCTCCGAGCGGGCGCCCACCACACCGCCGAACCACACCATACCGCGGCTCGTCCCCATCTCTCGTTGGGAAGAATTTTCCCGTCGGTATGAAAACAACAGAACTGCAGCCCTACATATCGGGGAGGGGGGGGTCACAGGCTGCGTAAAGTCAAGGAGCAAACAGGCGGCGGTAATCAACAGGAAATGAAAAGAGAATCTCTGGTTTTCAGGTCACTGGAGAAGCAACGCAATCGAAGAAAACATCAAATGGATATTTTAAAACTGGAAACGGGAACAAACTGACACAACCGTTCTACACTGTACTACAGTAGGACACCATATCTGTGGCGGAAAAGATGCGTATATACACAGCCTGGTCTCTGGCTCCCCGTAGCAGCGTCCCCATCTCTCGTTGGGAAGAATTTTCCTGTCAGTATGGAAACAACAGAACTGCAGCCCTACGTATCGGGAAGAGGGATGTGTGTCTCACAGGCTGCGTAAAGTCAAGGAGCAAACAGGCGGCGATAATCAGCAGGAAATGAAAAGAGAATCTCTGGTTTTCAGGTCACTGGAAGCAACGCAATCGAAGAAAATATCAAATGGATATTTTAAAACAGAAAACAGGGGAACAAACTGACACACCCGTTCTACACTGGACTATAGTAGGACACCACATCTGTGGCGGCAAAGACGCGTATATACACAGCTGGTCTGTGGCTCCCTGTAGTGGACAGCTCTGGTAACTTTATCTTTCAAAATATGCATTTCTAGAACTTTCAATATTTGTAATCATTTCAGACCGTGGATAAATGAATCCGCAGATACCGATTTCGTGCGGATAAGGGGGTCCTACTGTAATTCGGTGGGGAAGACCAAAGACTATTATTATTCAAGGCAGCAGACACAATGACGCTCCTTACCTAAAGTTCTTACGCTGTTTATATTTTGCTGTCGGGATAACGAAGGCCTCCCGGTATCCGTTCTCTCCTCCTAGAAGAGGGGAAGGACTTTATACAGCAGACTCGTCGGGCGCAAGACAACCCGTAACCCAGACAAAGACGCACACTTTTCCGTACTGAAACTGGAGGCGCACCCGATACACGTGTGAGAGTAGCAACCACCCAGAGGAACCCAGTCGCTTCTCTTTCTGACACAGGGTTTTTTCCCACGTGTCTCATCCACTCAACCTCGACCCTCCAGGGTGGAACCCCAAAATCATAAAAGCACAACCGACGCAAGGACTGAATTGCCCTACGTGCCCTTTGATACAGACATGAACTGACTATCCATAGGCAAGGAATTGACATGAAGAAGCCAATCCAAAGCTCCTCTTTGGAGAGATAGCATCAGGGGTTGAGGCGATCCGGCTGCAGAGCCCAAAAGTTGGGAGTTCGATTCCCCCACGATGATCTTAAAGGGTCCCTTCCAGCTCTTTGCAGTTCTACAATTAAGAGACCCAGTGAGTGGCCAAAGCAAATCCCGTCAAGAGCCTTTTTCATTCCGTTTTCATTTCTTGTGGCACGAGCGCCGTTCATAGCTCTCTTCTCTGCCTGAAAACAACATCTAAAACCCTCCCTTGTCTTGTCACACAGCCCCAAATCTAAAATACCAGTGAATTGAACCATAAGACGGTCTCCGCCAGATTTTCCATGGAATCACCAGATTTTTGTTCACTAGTCGAAAGCACAACAGCATGCCTTGGTGGCATTTTACTGGATCACGAAGCATTTCTCCATCAACCCATAATAATCATCATGGGCCATCCAGTGCATCCTGACTTATGGCGACCCTTTTCCAGAGTTTTCCAGGCAGAGAAATACTCAGAAGTGCTTTACCCTTCCCTTCCTCTAGGGGGCATCCTTGGGACTGTGTGCATTGCCCAAGGCTACCCGGGCTGGCTCTTCTCCTGGAAGGCCCAGTGGGGGAATCGAACTCCCAGCCTCTGGCTCCCCAGCCAGAGACCTAACTCACTGAGCTATCCAGCCAGCTTGTTGCTAAACAGAGGTGCAGACATTAAAATCATGCTTTGTGACGTACTTTTGGGAAGCAGCTGAACGAAGTGACAACAGGAGGAAGGCTAACCACTTTTTAAAGAATACAACAGCACAGCAATAGAGCCGGCTAGTCAAAACGATATGGCTAGGTTTCCTTTTTCACAAACTGTTTCCACACTGTTTTCACCTACCTGTTTTCTGGACCTGCAATTCCCTTTTTGCTTGCTCTAAGATGGATTTGATCGCTTCATCAGAGCCCGCCTCTGTGGCTCGGATTCTTGTGGTGATGTTACCTGGAGAGAAAAAAGGAGACCCCCTTCAATTAGCAAGCATCTCCCTGAGGACCAGTGTTTCCATTTAAAGGCATCTGTTACTGAACCATTTAAAGAAAGGAACTGCAGAAAGACAACATGATCAATAAAATCAACCACCACAACCACGACGGACATGCATTTGTCTCCTGCGGACATGCATCAGCCTGTGCTGCTTTTTTCTTTCTTTTTACTTGACCATTCAGTGCTGCTTTTAAAAAATATTATAAAGGTTTCAGGCTAAGAGAGGGGCCGCCCATCGGCATAGCTGGCTGCGTCGACTGGAGATGCGGGGAACTGACTTTGGGACCCCACTGCACAAGGTGCTCCCTCACTGTGCTGAGGCCACTTAAAGTCACTTTCAATCTGAGGCGACTTGGCAAAGGCTGCGGATGCTGGCGTCGTTTAACAAGGATTCAGATCAACGTTTTTCTATGACCTACTAGAAAATATGTGAGCCAGATCCACCCACAAACAATATGAAGATTTCTCAAAAAGCACACACTGCCTCCTCAAGGGTGGGAACCGCTGCGTTAGGCAGGAGAGGAATGCAGGTGAGGCCCTGGCAGACACTGGCCGCCTCCACCTGCCCAGGCACTTTCCTCGACTAAGGATGTAAAAAACTCCTAGTTCTTTTACGCAGCATCATCTGCCATTGGTCCTCTGGGATTTCATGTACCACTCTGAGTGGGGGCTGTTTGATTTCTCTATCGGAAGATGCTGAGGTTTTGACATGGTACCTTCTGCAGGCAAAGCAGGTGCGCTACCGTTGATCTGCATCTCCTTCCCAAAATGGCTCAGTTATCTGCAGCATGACGGGGTGCCGCCCACTTTGCTGGGGTCCCCCGCCGGCTCTACGGCCCTTAGGCTCATACCCAGTGGCTACGCTCAACCAAGACAGGGCAGCCCTCACGCTTATAGGCCACTCAAGGAGCCCCATTACCTGCTGAGGCTCAGCTGGCAGACAGGTGGACTGAGAGTTCAAAATCTGAGGTAGGTGCCCTGACATTTGTGACAGTGCTTGCCGAGAAGAAGAATAAGGAGTCGATGTTCCTGTAGTCAGAGAGAGACAGAAAACAAAGGGGAAAGGGAATGACTTCGCTCTATCGGTACACAGTGAAGACTGACTTATTTGTTCGCTTGCTTGCTTTAATCCCGCCTTTCCCCTTCAGAAAAAACCAAGGCGACTTGAGCCATTAACAGACAATGTTTGAAGCTACGAACAGGAAGTATGCAAATACTAAAAATGATCAAACTACACTGAAAGACAGTAAACAAAAGCAACACCCCAAAAGATACGGAAAGCAGTAAGGCAGAACCAATAAATTAAAAACCCCACTCAGGCAGCCAGTTGCTAAGAGAAATCCTGCTTAAAGGGGCTTTGTCTGCCTGCAGAAGGATGGCAAAGAGTGGGACAGTTCTGGTCTCCAGTGGCAGGGAGTTCCACAATCTCTGGGAGCGGCAACAGAGAAGGCCCTCTCCCGTGTCCCGACCAAGCACACCTATGAAAGTGGAGGGACCAAGAGAAAAAGCCTCCCCTGATGATCTCAACACCTAGGCCAAACTGCCTGGAGGATTCTGGGAGTTGAAGTTCAAAACCACAAAATCTGCACGGCTCTCTACCTCTTCCTCCACCCTACCTTTCGTCCAATGAACACCAAGCAGGATACCTGACTCTCCTCCATCAGCCTTTACCTTCCTAACTGCCCTGTCAGCAAGCTGAGCACAAGGGAGCAAAGAAGTGACCAAGGCTAACTCAGGGTCCTTCAGTGAGTTTCAGTACGGGACTAAAAGCTGGACCTCCCGGCTCAACATTCTTAACTCCTACACCAAACTGGATCTCTCCATGTATACTGAATTATTTGATCGTCTTACCAAAGCTACTCTGCGACGCAATGTACGGGCTGGCTACGGGATTGGCCGGGCGATGTTGCGAGGGCAAGCACGACTGCTGGGACATGGAACAGTAGCCGTCTTCGTAAGATGCTTCGGCCGGGTCCAGGGAGATTTTGGCACATTCTATCACAACATCATGCGTCTCCAATCTCTTCCACCTGGAGAGTATCCAAGTACCACCAGAATTTACAAGCTACGTAGGTAAGGAAAGGTTTCCACCAACATTAAAAGAAAAATCCCAGAAATACATTTCTAAAGATGAGGTTACGAGAACTAGCCATGAGAGGGAGCCAGAGGCCATATATTGCCACGGTGTCATTACCAGAACTGGCCATGAGAGGGAGCCAGATGTACAGCGTTTGACGTAATCCACATTTTTCAGCATCTGCAGGGCAAAGGGGGTTTGGAACCAATCCCCCCGCGATTATGGAGGTCCTATTGTAATTTTATCTGGACTATTTCCAAAAGCTACAGCTGCAGTATCAAAGACATCCAAACGGGAGGTCCCCTTAACAGGAAGAGCATCAGGGGTTCTGCAGAAGCCAAGGTTGATCCTATGCAGCCTTTGAGAGAAACGGGAATGCAGATACCTTCGAGGGTCCAATTCATGATCCTTCGAGCCGGTCACTAGCTCTGGATGGATGCGGACATATCCCATCATTGGCTAGAACGGGAGGGAGGGAGAGAAACAGACAGAAGTATTTTGAAGAACAGCTGGTGTAAATTACAACGTTGAGTTCAAGGAACAGATAACCTTTGGTCCGATATATTCAAAATCCTATTGCATCACGTAAGCAAAGTCGTAAGGCCATCTGCACACCTGAGAATCAGGGGGTGGGTTCTTTATCTGAGATGGAAACTTACGACTTCGTTTATGTTACTCAACAGGATTTGGGCCATGCTTCGGATGGCCGTCTGGCAGCAAGGCACACATATGTCACCATGCTTCGGATGGCCGTCTGGCAGCAAGACACAAGCTTAGGCACACATATCTCGTCTCCCAAACATATGGTAACATTTGGTTCAGAAACTCCCTTCAAACAAGCCCGGTTTTTTATACTACTACTGATGATCTATTGTATTATTTGGATTACTTGTGACTGAAAACGACCCTGAGTACTGCCTTGCACTAATCGGGCAGTATACAAGTACAGCAGGACCCCTGTATCTTGAGAGATGGGGACCAGATGCAAGTTCCCACCCACCCCCAAAAGCTGCAAAACAGATTATATAATACTATTCCTAATGTATGCTATACATAGTGTGGCCTCTGGCGCCCTCTAGTGGCCAGTTCTGATAGCTTCTTCTTTAGAAATATATATACAGTGGTGCCCCGCTTAACGATTTCCCTGCTCCACGACAAATCTGCTTAATAATTACGTTTTTGTGATTGCAAAACAATGTTTCAAAATGGCACCCCGCTGTGTAAAATAGCTCCCCGCTGTGTTTCCTCGCTTTACAGGCACCGGAAAATGGCCGCCCTGTGGAAGATCTTCGCTGGACGATGAGGTATTTCGCCCATTAGAACGCATTAATCGGTTTTAAATGCATTCTAATGGGCTTTTTACTTTCGCTTGACAACGATTTCGTTCTACAGCGATTCTGTCATTTCAATAACGGGTTGTACTTCTATTTCATATTGGGTCCAGTTAAAGCGATGAAATAAATTGCAACCATCACAAACGTTGTTTTTTAAAAAGGTCCTTTGGTCTCCTAACAACGGGCGCACAAAATGTAGCTGGGCTGGCTGGCTGCCGTCCTCACTTACCTTGACCACCTCTTCAAAGGTCTCCAGGTTTTCCTTCATACTATAATGGGAGCGCAGGAAAGAGACGAAGTTGCAGGGGTACATTCCGTAAAGGCGATGGAAAAGGGCATAAACGCTGGCATGGAGGTGGACTAAGTAGATCTCTGCCACATGACCTAAGGAAGGAATAACAGACACCGGGGTGCACCCTGTCACTCCTTCCACGGCTGCGTACACGTTCAGAATGAAATCAGCTAGGCAAGCCAGCCTGTTGAGAAATCGTGACTTTGTCTACTGTTTCTAGCTTTTGCAAATACAGTAGTACCTCCCCTTATCTGCAGGATCGGCATCTGCTGATTCGCTTATCCATAGTCTAAAAATATTAAAAGAAACTTTAAAATGAAAAGGCTAGAAATACAGATTTGTAAAGATGAAGTTACCATGACTGGCCATGAGAGGGGGCCAGAGACCATGCTATAAATCGCATTGGCTAGAGAAATATATTCCCACCGTGTCGTTACCAGAACTGTCCACTAGAGGCAGTCAGAGACGCTTTAAAAGCGTTCGCAATTAAAATCCTGTTTCCTAGAATCTGTTTTTCAGCATCCATTGGGGGGCCCAGAATGGATCCCCTGCAGATAAGGGGATCCCACTATATAAATATCCTTAAAACTGTATGGCCCCTATCTGCTAAGTCACAGAAAGTCAGGTCAAAGAAAACGACCCTTTAGGGTTTAGTATCATCCTGTGCTGATTAATGAAAGAATTAAGGGCAAGCAGTTATACATGTAGAATTATCTCAGGTGACCAAATTGCAAACATGTCCAAAGAGGGTTATTGAAAGCATTTATAAACTCGAGCTGCATAAAGCCTTCCACAGAGGCTTACCAAGATCATCTCTAAGGCGCTCTCCCGTTTATAGGCATAACATGCAGAGAAGCAGGATCGAGAAGAATCTGTTAGAATGCGGAGCTGAAACGCCTGAGAAACTCTCTCGCTCCACCCATCCTGGCGGCCTCTTCCAGCACAAGCCAGGTTTGATGTACCTGAATGTCTCGCTGACGTTCGCTGCAAGCAATAGGGTTAAATCTGGTCTTCACTGACACCGTCAAGCGTCTCACCTGGATTCTTCAAGTACCAGGATGAAAGGCGGCCAAAGATGCCGAAGAAGTCGTGAAGATACTGCTTCCCGGACTGGGGGATCATGGGCAGCATGGTTATCAACACTAGCACGCCTGTAGTAAGGACCACTACATCGGTGTCAGTCTGCAAAGGGAGAAGAAGGGAAAAAATCAAGTCAAAACAGTCCCTTCCCCCCCCCAGGCAACATGATGTTCCCCAAAGGGCAAATCAGAGGTGGTAAGAATGCTTTCTTATCATCCTCCACATTTCTGGCAGAAAACATGATTTGTAAATGCATGTAATTAGTGAGAAGCAAGGATTAAGAGCTGGCTGGATAGCTCAATACCAAGCCGAAGGTTTGGATTTCAGATCCCCTCTGTTCATCTCAACAAAAGAAGGGAAAAGGAAACTTATTCTTAGTTTTTTTCTACCTGAAAAACCCTGGAAAGGCTTGTTATCAATCAAAATTGACTTTGACGGCACACAATTATTAAGGATTCATAATTTCCACAGCCTGTTTGCGCTGAAAGCACTTTACAATTCTGATGCGTGATAAATATTACTTTACCAGCACCGATGTGGCTGGGGTCCTACCGTAACTGCTTATGTGCAACGCTAGAGGTGACATCTATGAGGACGGGGAATCAACAAGCCCCCCCTTACCTTGAGACACTTGAGCAACGAAAGCAGGACAGGCGCTTGAGAAAGCTTGTGCTTCCAAGAGGGTTGGCGTCTTATCACGTGACCAAGAAGGGAGAGAGTAGGAAGGCGGGTGGTGGGTTTACTCATGTATTCGTTGATTTTGTCCAGAAGGTGCTGTGAAATTTGACAAGAGGAGAGGCAAAAGGAGGCTGAGAAGGAGACCCGGATCATCATCCTGACTCCTTCGCCGAAGCCCGGTCTAGAGGTCTCTAGTTCAAAGATACTCGGCAGGTTTTTAAACCCCGCTTCCCGCTTCAAATTCACTCCATTCCCAGAGAGCTGCCTTCCGTTGCGGCAAGAAGCGCTGCTTTTTTGCTTCTTACCTTGTCGTGCGGTTCTTGAAGTGTGTACAGGATGTGCAAGGCCTGCTGGGAGCCAGTTTCCAGGTAGTAATCCACCAACGTGTTTACGAGCACAGGCCCCCGGTCTGCCAAGGTTATGACCAAGAAGCCAAAAGAAAAAGAGTAACAAGACAAACCAAGAGAGAAAACCTGTTACCGAGAGGTGTAGACATTTAAATAAGACAATATTTCTGGGAGTTGTAGTCCGTACGCCTGGGGACGCCAGGTTGGGAAGCACCAGGATAGGGCATGGGTAGCCTTCCAGATGTCACTGGGCTACAATTCCCATCAGCGTAACTAAGGCAGCCCGTGGTAAAACACTAGGAGAGCTGCAACTGAAAACATGTGAACTGATCAACATTTCCTTTTCTCTGAACTAAGCACCGCCTAGTTTGCTACTTATTTATGACTTGCTTCATTTCATTTATACCCCCCATCTTTTTTTCCCCTAATTCAGGAACCCACAGAGACTTACAAAATGGCAGGCAGAGGACAGATAAAACGTTTAAAATGCAACTAAATATGTAATTAAAAAAAAAAAGCTTGCGACAATTCAAAACAGACACACACACAAATCTTTTCAAGAAGAGAAATTGTGCACCTCCTGTTTACAAAGACATTCATCATCGGCTGGAACGCAGGGGCCAAAGGACCATTTGAAAAGAGAATGGGACCAAGAGGGGGGGGCAAGCCCAGCCTCATGGGGAAGGGGCCCTAAAATGTCAGGACAGACCACTGAAAAAGCCCTGTTTCAAGGCCTCACCAGACACACCTGTGAAGATGATGGTACGACAAGTAGAGGAACTTCAGAATCTCTCTCCCTCTCCCTCCCTTCCTCCCTCCAGCAGGCCTTGCAATATTTAACCACAGACTGAAATATTTAAGCATGATCTGGGCCTTCAAGTCTGGAGTCTTTCTAAAGAAGGCTGTCTACGCAACATCGTGCAAAAGCTCACAACGAGGAAGCTAAGCAACTCTGGAGGCGATCGATGGTTCAACAACTAGAACGTCAGGGGACACCATGAATGCGGCTTAATAGAGTATGAAATGAAAGCATAAGAGGCGTCTAAAATAAATGTGTTGATTCTGAATGCAAGGTTTAACAGCGTGCAATATATTTTAAACATTATTCTCCCAATGGGGAAAGCCCTCGTCTTGCTTTCACGCTCTCCTCGTAACAATCGTTCCCTGCATAAAGGTTCTCGAGGAAGGGCATGGATGGCAGAAATGAATTTTGGAAAACCCGACGCCATTCCCTCCTCTTTACAGCTAATCGCACGCCACCCCGTACAACGGTTCCTTGACACGTCGCCAGACGAACCAAGGAGAAAGAACCATAACTACTTCCTAATCATGTTCTGAAAAATAAACAATAAGCCATCCCAACCTTTCAATGACCAATGAGGGTTAGAGCTCTCTTTCTGACAAACGAGAGGAAGGAAATTCCGTTGCCCATCAAGTAGCTATGAAATTCCCAGCGGTTTCTGGATTATGCTATAGTCAATACTGCCTAGCTTAGCTCTGCGCCGTCCTTTCTGGTTTCTGTATCTGGATGCCTCTCTTCACAAGGTTTCCAGTATTTCCCCAACCAAGCTACAATACGGCAACCATCTTTCCTACACGTGGTGTTCTTCTCTCCCTCCTTCCCACACCCTAAGCAATGATGACACACAGCTACGACGCACAGATCGGGGGCCTTTGGAAAACACGCATGAGGTTCGGTGAAGCACCAGAGACCTCGACAGATAAGCCCAATGACCTACCTGCATTTAGGTTCTCTCTAAAGGCAGCCGTGATGTCTTCCAGGACCGCCAGGACCGGAGAATCAAGCATGGTGAGGAGATCGCTCACGTTTCCTTGCTGAGCCATTCTGCTTCGTTCTTAGGTGCTTACGTGCATGCTACGGGGATCGTGCAAAGCACAAGATCTAAAGATGCCTCATCGGTGCTCCTGTCCAACTGAAGACAAAACACTGACTTTTTTGCAAAATGACTCTTTCTTATTTTCAGTTTTCTACCGATTCTTTACTCCAGTACGGTCTTTCCGCTTTCCGGAAAAATAAACGGAAGCTTCTACTACAGTAAGAAACCACCACCATCACCACCTCCTTATCCACGGGATGATTATCCACAAATTCACTTATCCAAGGTCAGAATACAGCAACAATGTTTAAAGAAAAATGCTAGAAATAAACAGTACAGTCCCAGGTTTCAATGCTGCTCCCCAGCAAAACCACATTGAAACAAAGCTTTTGAAAAAAAGGAGGGGGTTCAAACAAAATCCAAGCTTTTTTTTAAAAAAAAAAAAAGGAGGGGGTTCAAACAAAATCTCCAGCGTACAGAAAAACTTCAGAATCCTTTACCTGGTGTGCTGACGAGTAGTCTTTCTTAACACTGATATCAATCTGGTCCTTTTCATGATCACAAACACTGGAAAGAGGGGGAAAAACAGAGAAGAGAGTACCTAGCTGAGCATCTCACATAAAACAGAGTAACAGAAGCCACAGTGTTGTACATGCTCACATTTGAAACAACTGGAAAAGAGAAAATTTCCATTTATCCATTTATTTAGCATGTTTTTATCCCACCTTTCTTCTTAAAAAGAAACCCCCAAAGAGCTCTAAAAATAAGAATTCCGTCTTGCTATATAGCAGCACAAAGCATTTGGGCATTCACGCTGGATTTCTAAGCACTATGAATCCCTCGAAGTTTAGATGCCATATGCAAAATGATCAGAATCCCCGTATACACACACACACACTGATAAAGATAAGGAGGAGGAGGATACCCCCATGTTCTCTATCCATCCAAAATTTAAATACTGCCTCATTAGTGCAATGCGCTGTTCTGGGCAGTTCACGGAAATTGTAAATAAAACAAATACCGTGAAGCTTATAAATGCACATACACAACTAGCAAGTTAAAAAACAATGATCGGATAACAGACATGTATTGCAGGGTCACATTGAGAGCTGAGGTGTAAAATCAGGGGGTCCTATTATATGACAAAGGAACCCCCAAGAGTCCTGTGCTGCTCTGTGTTGCTGGATATTCTTTGTGAGCTTGTGTGTGTGTTTGTGCGTATGTGTTGTGGAGGTGTAAAATCAGGGGGTCCTATTATATGACAAATGAAACCCCCCCCCAGGAGTCCTGTGCTTTTCCTACTCTCTGTTGAGGGATATTCTTTGTGAGCTTGTGTGTGTGTGTTTGTGTGTGTGTGTACGAGAGCCATTTGTGCCATTTGAAACCTACAAGCTGTTCAACAGGAGGGTCATCAGGCACCCAGAAACAAAACCCACCAAAATCAGGGGGTCCTATTATATGACAAATGAAACCCCCCCCCAGGAGTCCTGTGCTTTTCCTACTCTCTGTTGAGGGATATTCTTTGTGAGCTTGTGTGTGTGTGTTTGTGTGTGTGTGTACGAGAGCCATTTGTGCCATTTGAAACCTACAAGCTGTTCAACAGGAGGGTCATCAGGCACCCAGAAACAAAACCCACCCAACGTTGTTGTGCCGTTTAGTGCCTTAAGGACATTGACCCCTTTTGGCCTTGGAGTTCTCCACGGAAATAACTTCGGCCAGGTTTCTGCCAGAGACCCTTCACAAAGCAGCCTGTATTTCTCTGGGACCGCCTGTTCTATGGCAAAAGGCTGCCCACAAGGAAGGAGCGGAAAGGCCCCCGGGTGCCACTTTCTCAATCAGGGAATTAATCATCCGGGATTAAGAGCTGATGCTGCATAACGGCGAACAGCGTAATCCAGAAAATCCCTGCCAGGAGACTAGAGAAGCAGGCCCAGAGCGGAAATCTCAACTGAGGCTGGCAAATACCTAACCCTATTTATTTATTAAAATTATTTTTACTCCACCGTTCTCCTTAAAAAGGACCGAAGCCTAACACAAAATGGTTGAGGTGATGGTGGTTTCCAGACACGATTGGCAAACTAGTTAATCCAGGTCAAAATATCACTTTACCCAATATTGAGATTTAAAAAAAAAAAAAAAACTGCTGTGCTCTGTCCTTCAACACAGAAGCAGAATACACACAACATACAGAAACAAAATACAATTAAAACTGGCCAGCAGAATAGAAGAAAATGATTAAGATGTTCACAACAACTGCCAAATTTGATTGTTGTCTGGCACGAAAAGAAAAAAAACACCAGTCTATGGCAAGCGCCCCCCCCCCGGAAGACCATCACCACCACGCCCAATGTTTCATCCTGCTTACTGGCTCCAGAGTAAAACTGGCATCAGGAGAAGGGCATCTGGCGATTATCTCAGTAGGCAGACAAGAGTTGTGTCGGGGAAGGCAACCTTCGGGGAATAAAGAGAGCCATCTGTGACGTCTAGGGCAGAGAGCGCCAGCGTTGCGACACCCATCCCGGATTGGGCCAGTCTCCTATCTAGGATGCGGTACGCTCAAAACAGGTGTTTCTACCTGCGCACGTTTGTACTGTAAACACCCCCTTGCATCAGCTCTCCAAGAACACGGCCGCTTGAGCAATGGACCATTGCCCAAGGAGAGAAGCCAGTAAGACATTGGCTATCTGGATCGAGAACCAGCGCAGTGTTTCAACCCATAGGAAGTGCGTCCCTGTCTCCCAGCCCCAAACATCAACTTTGTGGCTGTATTTTGTATCATAGGTCCCAAACGGTCAGCAAAAGATAGGTCTAACGCACAAAGTTACTGGAAGAGGACCTGACGCATTACGACGTGCCATAATAATTAAAGAAACCCTCGTGATCCAGGGTCAGTTTATATCCAATACCACATGTTGGAGATAAGGAACCATAGATAAGAAACCATTATTGTTTTCACAAGCAAGAAGAATCTGACTGGATGATACACAGGCAAAATACCTAACAAGACCCATCCGGATGGGCAAAGCTCAGCGGTCTATGTGTTGCGAGACAACAGCTCCCATCATCCCCCTCTAGAGTTTCTGGGAGTTGATGTCCATAAAAATCCAAGTTACCCAAGGTTGGGAACCACTGATCTATATTGTTTTTTCACCTCCTAGTGTTTTAAATGGAAGTGTCACGATTTAGCAAGCCATGTCTGAACTGCTTTTTAAAAACAAGGTTTTAAAAATAGTATTTTAATTGTTTCCTGACAATTATGTAATAATCTACAGTATTAGGTAACTGTAGCTTCTTAACACTTGTTATCAATCACAACAGCCAACTTATTGTTTGCTGTGCATTCCATCATCTTCTGCAGCATGCTGACACTGTGATGCTTGGTAACAACTATATCAAACCAAACAACAGGCTAATACATGAAAGTCGAGGAGCCCGTTTGTATCTGTGCAGACCTCCAGTCTTCTGAAGTTAACAAAGATTTTTAAAAATTCAGGAACTGATTTTGATTAAGACAACTAATCATCAAGCCTTGATCTGATCACTGATTCTGGCTCTCCCCTCTGGAAAATAACTATTGCAGTGTCGTGTCATTTCCTCTGTTTCTAAGTAACACCGATAGTAAGGAAAGGAAAACCAGTAAGTTCAAAATAAAAGCAGCTTCCTTTTGTTTAATACACAAGTATAATCAATTATTTTCTATTTTATGTTTATTTGCTCAAGTGGCAAGAACTAGGTAATACTTAGGGCACCCAACTTTAAATGCACATTTAATATTTATGAATGTTTATAATGATTATCCCCAAAAATATATATACTTCTAAAATTCATATGTACAGTACTAAACTACGCCACTGCTCACTAGGTTGTGCCTAATCTGTTATGTTCTTAAAGCACACGAGTTTAGACTCACTACTAAGAAAATAAAAATTGTGTCCCTTTCAATGGAACCTAAAATCTGTGAGGGTTCTTGACTAGCAACTGCTGGACTGAATAACTCAGTGGGTTGGAGCACCTGGGCTTAGGAGCCAGAAGTCAGGAGTTTGATTCTCCACTGCGCCTCCCAGGAAACCAACCCATTTGCACAGTTTCGGTCAAGCTGTATCTGCTTTCTCTACACCATGCCTTATTGTACATATCTCTGCCATGCCTCCCTCTTATCAACATTTCCCCTTAGCTAAAAACTCTCTATTGCAATCTCTCATCCAAAGCTAACTCTTCCATTAAACCTTCTGCTTAATTCTTCTCTTCTCGTCTTCCACTGGATGAATTTGACTCCATCTGCTGAGAATCCCCACTGCATCTCCCCCAGCCCAACTGGAGAATCCAGGGAAGCCGATGAGAAATGAAAAGGAAAACAATTGAACTATTTCTTCACTAAATGGAAGCTTACCATGAAAATCATCTTCACGTGAAGTGAGAAGTTACAGATTTAAGGAGGTTATCAAGGATACTATTCATGAGACCTATTCACAATTGTAAGATTCAAAATCAATGTGTCTCTGAATATCAGCCACTGTGGAATTATCGTGTAGGAGAAAACTATTGTTCGCAAGTTCTTGTGGGTTTCCCACAGGAATTGAGCTGGCCACTGTGGGAAACAGATGGGCCTTTGTTCTGTTGTAGGTTATTTATTTAAAATATCTGTAACCCATCTTTTCCCTTAAAAAGGGCCCAAGGCAGCTTACATCATTAAAACACAATATTAAAAGCTGAAAACAGTAATTTATTCAAACATTAAAGAAGAATTTATCTTTAAAATATAAAGTAAAACATTGTGAAGATTTAGAAGCAACAAGATAGAAACCATCTCATTTATTGTCTCCTAAACAATCTGTCACTAAAAGACAGCCTGTTTGAAGGCTTTGCCTGCTTACCGAAAGACAGCCAAGGTGGGGCTAGCCTGGCCTCCTGTAGGAGGGAGTTCCACAGTCTGGGAGCAGAGACAGAAAAGGCCCGCTCTCGTTTCTCCACCAAGCATCTGGATGTTGTTGTTGTTTTTAATTACTACTATTACTCTGCAACCCACCACATAAACTGACAACCCCATTTAAAAATCAGACATAGGAAGTCCAAAAGTCTATGCCTGAAAGGAATTAATTTCTGTCAGCTGTGAAGGATGAACTTTAACTGAGGGAGAGAATCATTAGTCACAAAGTAATTTAGTAGGATTGGCCTTAGGTGCTTTAAAGTATGCCTACCGTTTTGACAAATTAACCGCAGTTAGGGCTAGTCTGTTACCTTCTACACCTCGACATTCAAACACCCCAAAAGAAAGAGAGAGTTGTTAAGGAAAAAGACAGTTTTTAAAATGATTACTGGGGGGGAGAATCTTTTTCTTTCACTTAAGCCAGATATGCAAAAGAACAATGGGATAACAAGCAACCAAACTCACTACAGAACTAATCCAACTGAAAAACAAGATTAATATGTTCCTTTCGCCATGAATTAGGAACTGTAAATAGAATTTTTTCGAAAAGAGGTTTTGATCTTTTCTCTCCCTCCATTTTCAAAAACAGAGTACTCAGGTTTTGCAGTACACTGATTAAAACAATCTTTGACATAGGAGACCCTCAGACATGAGAATTTGCTGGTTTTGGGAAGAAACAAGCACAACAAAAAAAGAGGCCTGGCCTGTTCCTACACCTGCAAGGGGAAACAAAATCAGCTTAAGCACAGAGGTGACACCTAGAAACTCAACATGGAGGATGATTCAGGAGGATAATCAGTATGAACTAGAAATAAACAAGAAAACAAAGAAACTATAAGATTCACTCAAGCTCTCTTTTAATTTCCTTCATTCCACTCTATTTTGCAAACATTTCCCTTTTCTTTTCCCCTAATAATTTGCTCCCTTTCTCTTTACTCATTGTTTCTTTATTCCTTTTAATATTTGTATACTTGGTTTTAACATTAAATATTGTCTTTTAATTCTGTACGCTGCCTTTGTACACCCACTGTTTTTAGCTTTCCATAGCGTCTCTCAATTATATAAGCCACTTTGGGTCCCTTCTAAGGAGAAAGGTGGAGTAAAAATATTTCAAATAAATTAAATAATTAATAATTTCTCCCAATAAACCTCATTAACTCTTTCTCCATCACCCTCCTCTTGCCATTCTTCCAAGGTCTTTGTGCTCCCACTCTCAGAACTAGCTGCACCTCAACGGAGCCTGGCCCACCGACCCCAGACAATGATGGATAAAGCGACAGACCCTTTTTAATATCATACTTGTTGAATTCTTTTTTAAAAAAAAACAAACATTTGTATACTCACTCTTTTTAGTTTTTAAATATTGTTTTTTAAGCACTGTAAGAGGCCTTGGGCCCTTTTATGAAGAAAGGTGGGGTAAAAAAAAATATTTTAAATCCTGTACACACAAAACTATTCCAAAACACATCCTTAGTAAACACCATTATTTTACGTCACCCTCATTTCTACCTCACCCACCTCGTCCTTCCTCAGCCTCTTCTTTCCCAAGCCCCATCCCCTTTCTTTCATGGGGGGTCTCCCCATTTCTGCCCTCCCCCTAGCTGGATTTAAATGCACAATTTTAACACTGCCATTCCAACCCTCTTAAAAAATGGACTATGACATTAAATATGGCTCCTCGCCTTTCTTGCTTTGTTCTCCCTCAGAGCTTCCACACACCATTTTCTCCCCTCACACCCCCTTCCCTTCTTCACCCCCCATGATTTCTCACCAAGTCTCTCTCCCCCCCCCCCCACCTCCCTACCTAAATACCTCAAGGGCACCTCAAGAGAGATCCCACCTGAGGAGACGGCTTGCCAACCCATAAGGGCATTTTTTTACCATTTAGAGACCTTTTCAATGTACGCCTGAAGCGTTTGTTTGTTTGTTCGTTCGCCTCCTTCGTCCGCCTGCACCTCATCTTGGCTTGGGATTTTCCTTTCCCCCTCAGCCCCTCCATCCCTCCAGGACCTTCCCTTCTCCTCAGCCTTGGCCCAACCCAGGCACTCCCCCCTTCCCGCCCCCCTCACGCCTTACCCTCCTTCCTTTTTTTATCCCTTTTTTCCTCTTATTTTATCTCCTTTTCCTTTTCCTCTTCCTTTTCTCTCCTCACGCCTCCCATTTCTGGCCAAACCCCCGCTTCAAAACACTCACCCCACCTCCTTCCTTCTCCTCCCCTCAGCTGTTTACCACTCAGGGCTTTTCTGACCAACAGGGCGCCGCCATCTTGGCCCCACCACCGTCCCTGGCGCCCTCCCAGGGATCCCTCCGCGGCCTGCCCTCCCTTTACAAAAATAGTCCCCCCCTAAAAGCACACCGTCGCTCCCTTTTATTCCTACCTGAGGCCGGTTCTTCCGTCTCAAAACAAAAAAACACCCTCCTTTCTTTTTCCACCGGTAAGATATGGGCCAAAACTCGGGGCCAACCGATCCCAGTCGCGGAAGGATCTCTCTTTCTCTGCAACGGGGAGCGACGCGACCCGAAAGGCGAAAAGGTCTCGTGATGCTCCGAGGGAGGCCGCAAAAAAAGGTTCCGGCCCCGCGGAGGGGAGGGGCGACTACCACGTGACCCGGCGTCGCGCTCTCTCGAAGGGGCGGAGCCTTGGTCCGGTGGTAAACAAGGTTGGAAGCGGAGGGGGGGCGGGACTAAGCAGGCGCCTGAGGAGGCTCGCCGCTTTGGAGCCACGCCCACCTCGTTGCCCCTGGCAACCGAGGCCTAGCTTAGCGTCGGGGGTTTTGGGCTCCTATGAAACTTTAAAAAATAGGATAGAGAAAATAAAGTTCTGTAGAATTTTTGCAACCAACATTCATAGTGTAGCGTAGGGTACTATAACAGAGAATAGCATATTAAATTATTTTATTTATTATATTAAATTATAACATATATTATTATATACAAATTTATTTATTTATTTGTCTCTACTGCCCCTCTGACCAATTGGTCATTTCTTGGTGGATTGAAACCAGGGCAGGAACGTAAAATAACACGAGCATAACCGAAAGTGAAAATTAAAATTCCATTGGAAAATAGGTGGAAACTTTTTTTAAAAAAAATTAAAATTAAGTATCGGAAGGGTAGCTTTGTCAAAGCCAGCTTGCTGGGAGCTGGCAGTGGGAGGAACGCATGAAATTATGTGTGAGGGGGCCCAAAAGGATATGCCCGTTTTCAGGTGAAGGAACTCCAAAGCAAAACAGAATTTCCTGTGGTGTTTAATGATTATGTAGGGATGTGAGGGGGGTGGAAAGGACAGTGAGGAAATACGTGGTTTGGGGGCATTCGCTGATATGCAATACAGTATTTTAGAGGAGAGTTATATTTATCCTAGGACCGCCAAAAAAAGACCAATAAATAGGTCTAGATCAAAACAAGCCTGAACTCTCTCTGGAGAATTAAAAAATATATAATAAATTTGAGGCCATCCGACTTTGGGCAAATCATGAGCAGAGAAGACTTCTTGGAAGAGCCAACAGTGAAGGCAGGAGGAAAAGAGGAAAAATCAAGCATGAGATAGACCGACTCAGTCAAGGAACCCACAAGTTGAAATTTGTAAAGAACTGAGGAGAATGTAGATCCTCTGCTGTTGGGGGGAAAAAGGATTATATCTGTGAATTTTAGCCTGTCACTGTCCTGTTTATAACCTTAGAACGAGACTTCTTGGAAGAGCCAACAGTGAAGGCAGGAGGAAAAGAGGAAAAATCAAGCATGAGATAGACCGACTCAGTCAAGGAACCCACAAGTTGAAATTTGTAAAGAACTGAGGAGAATGTAGATCCTCTGCTGTTGGGGGGAAAAAGGATTATATCTGTGAATTTTAGCCTGTCACTGTCCTGTTTATAACCTTAGAATGGCTGAGCTAGAAGGGATCCAATAGATCATCAAGTCCAGCTCTGGTCAAGGAAGGAGGCACTGTGGGGATTTGAACTCCCATCCACGCGTGCTACAGCCAGACCCTAAGGTGGCGAGGCACCGTGGGGATTCGAACTCCCAACCACGGGTTCTATAACCAGACCCTAAGGTGGTAGTTGGAAATTGTAATAAAGATATATTTTTTATTGATTTAAAATATTTTTGCCCCACCTTTCTCCTTTAAAAAAGATCCAAGGTGGCTTATATCATTAAAAAGACAATATTTAAAAGCTTAAAACATGCTGATACAAAAATATATGCATAGAATGGGACCCCTGTATTCATGGGGGATCGGTTCCATGCTCCCCCCCCAGGCTGAAAAAATGCTAATTTTAGGGAACACTATAATAATAGTGAAAGTAATACATAGCATGGTCTTTGTCTCCCTCTAGTGGCCAGTTCTTTAAAAATATTGATCTCTAGGATTTTTCTTTTAATATTTTCAGACCATGGATAAGAGAATCCGTGGATATTGATCCCGTAGATAAGGGGGTCCTACCAAAGACTTGCCAACATTCCTGTGGCATATTTTGGATTGCATGATAGAGTCATTTTTTTCTTAGCTCCTAGCAATGGATATTCCAAGCGACGTTCTGTATTTTGCAGACGGAAGGACTGTTTATCAGATTCCAGAGGTGGAAAAACGTACTTTTGGATTGCATGATAGAGTCATTTTTTTTCCTAGCTCCTAGCAATGGGTATTCCAAGCAACGTTCTGTATTTTGCAGATGGAAGGACTGTTTATAAAACTCCAGGGGTGGAAAAACGTACTTTTTTTGTCATTAAAACAAAAATTATCCCTGAATCCTCCTTAGCTACGAACCTTTAACTCACTTTGTCCTCTTGAGAGGTTCGTCGGCTTTGGACCTCACTGGAAAAAGAGACTTTTTCATAATTAGCGGCTCATAGGTTAGGGCTTTTTCTTCGTTCAAAGCAAAAATCTGTTTTGGGACAACTTTGCCTTATCCCTGCTTTCTGCTCCACTTAGGTGAAGGCCGCCAGCCTGCCGTTCCTTCTCCATGTGGACGTGTGATTAATTCAGGATAACAACCTTCACGGCGGGATGTTATGAATTCAGGACGAACCGCATCAGCGGCCTTTGAAGGCGACTCGACAATGCGGAGTGGTCTCCACGCACCCCATAATTCCCCTCGCGTGGGATTTGACGCCAAGTTCCCCTTGAAGTTTCACCTGTGAGAGAGGGCCAGTTCACCTCCGAGAGAGAGAAAACAAGCATCTTTCTAATCTCGTCCCTCTTTGTGAATTGCAATTAATTTTTATTTCAAGTCTCGGGCGCGGGGGCTTGTCTTTCCCCCCACCCGCTGTGTTGGAAGAATGTTTATTTCATCTTCCCTAGGGAAAGACGCCCTGGAGAAAGAAAAGAGAGAGAAATTAAATTAGGATGGGCTTCAGGAAAAGAAATGGACGGAAGCAATTAGCAATATTATTTCTCTTTGACTCAATTATCATAAGATTAAATGGGAATACAGAAATTGGTTCATGAGGGGGGAGCAGGGAGAAACATTATTTTCACACGGGGGTTGCTGCTGGGAGAGACTGGGGGGGCAAGAACGGCAAGAAAAATATATGAAAGATTTATTTTTCCCCCTCTTAATGATATCATTAACCTTCTTTCCCATTACGAGGTTTTGGCCTTTCATGATTTATTTATTGTGCTTGCTATTTGTTAGAGGGTGTGAGGAACATCGAACACTAGTACAAACCTACAGACAGCTTCTCTGGAGCACCCTAAAATTCTGGAGATTTCATTCCTATGGTTGAATGATGGCCAGTCTTAGTACAATAGGACCCCCCCCCCCCAATCCACCGGATCAGTGTGTGCCGATTTAATCATCCACCCAGAACTGCCTATTTATATGCCTTTCCATGGTGTGTTTACCAGAACTGGCCACTAGAGGGAGCCAGAGACCATGCCATGTATAAAGTTTGTTGTTATCCACGTTTTTCAGCATCTGCAGGTTTGGAAACAATCCTCCATATATACCATGGTCTTACTGTGTGTAATTTGGTCACCACACATTACCTTCAGGATCATTCACCCAGATCTTGGAAATCCATAAGTGCAAACAGCTAGAATTAGTTCTTTTTCCCCTGCACCAAAACACTGTTAAGTTACATTACAGGTTCTGAGTCTGAAGAAAGATCAAGCCGCCAGGATATTTTAGCGATCACTCATTCATAGACTTGCCATAAGTCAAAGCTGACTCGACAGCCTGTAACAAAATGGACAAGGAGCAATTGCAGTTTCATCTGCTTGCCAGTAGAAGGCGCTGGAGCCATAAATTCGCCTCTAAGCCGTTTGCCACCCACCCATGCATAAAATCCAAACATTTAATTTCAACACGCCTGCAAACGTGCCTTAAAAGGCCCTTTTAAAGTAACTTTTGAAAGTAACCATCACGTCTTGCTGATTACATCCTGCAAGTGTGTCTATTTTTATTATTGCACAGTAACTTTGTAACTACCAGTTGCCATTCTTATCAACCAGAAATCACAACTATTTACAGTATTTATAACTTGTTCTGCATAGTTCTGTTACATGTAACCAGTCACTTCCCAAACTATGCCCTAACCTTCATTAATCCTGAAGATCATATCATTCTGGCAAGACATAGCTGAGCACCAGTGAGTTTACAATTAGCATTTGGAGTTTTAATTACGAAACACCGTCTTCAATATTCATAATGCTCTGTGTGCTGTAGCAACCGTTCCAACATCTTTAAAAGATCCGCTCTCAAAATCTTATATCCTATATTTCCATATTGCTTTCCTATGTGAGAAAGAAATGGATCACATTAGGAATATGGGTCTAAATTTTCCTGGTTTCCTTTTCCCTCCGCATCGTATCTTCCTTTATTGCCATTTATATATACTGTATATATAATGTGATACAAGGCTTATGTGGTCTTTCTTATATAAAACGGTTCTGGACTTTGGGCTTGCAATATATACAACAGAGAGACATAAATTTGTATATACGAATTTATGTCTCTCTGTTGTATATATCACACACACACACACACACACACACATTTGTCTCTCTGTTGTATATATTACATAAGAGACATAAATTCATACACACACACACACACATATTACAAGCCCAAAGTCCAGAACCGTTTTGCTTTTATTGACTGGGGCAGCCATATCTATGTCTACAGCTAGCTAGAAATGTGGCAGATAAATAAAATAAATGTAGTTAAATTAAATTAAACTGAATTTAATTGAAATTAATTGCTCTTTTTGGGCAGGAAATTCAGCTGAGAGAATTATAGCTTCCCTAAGACAGTTTTGTACATCCACGACAATCGGAAGATAAAAAGTTTTGACACAAGGAATGACAGCTCCATAACCCTAACTTTTGTTTTTCTGCTTCACCCATTCAGGCATGTCATGTTTCCCTTTGCCACTTTGCAAAAATCAGTATCTCAAGAGAACACTCGCACCCAAAAAAAAAAAAAAAAAGGAGGGAGACAAGAGGACACGAACTGTCACCGAACGAGTTGAAACTGGGAGGACTCAGAACTGAACCACGTGGAAAGTTCTCTTTGAGTTTTCACAAAGTCTGGCAGGTTTTGATAAGCAAATTCTACCCGGGGTTTGGCTTCTTCATTGGCTGTTCATTCGCCGCCAGATTTTGACACAAGTAATCTGATTGAAAAATCAGGGAGGGGAATGGGTGTAAAGAATACACACAGAGAGACAGAGAGAGACATACAAACCCAAGAGAAATTAAGAGAAAGAATATCTCAGATCCAGCAGACAAAGAGCGTGCGGAAAAGTAAAAAAGAAAGAAAGCTAGAAGAGAAGAAGACACTACATAGAAGAAACTCTGCTAAACAGGTGATCTTTCTCCCCCATAAAATATTATTAATCATGATGCAGTAGCAGCAGAAATTAAGTTTACCATCCTATAACCACCTAATTAAATGTTCTACCGAATCGAGCTTTGAAACAGTTTAGGATGATGAGGATGACTGCGAGGTTTATCTCTCTGAGCAAAGTTGTTAAATATTACACCAAGACAAGGAGACGTTTAAGAAATATTGGCGTTGCGATACAGGGCCGTTTTTACAAGGCGGTTTCGCTTTTTAAAAGAGATACTAAAAAAGAATAGGGATGTGCGTGTCAGTGAGGGGTGGCGTTGTTTAAAATAAAACTGTTGGCATAGGAGGTTGTGATCAATCCTTATTTTAAAGTAGCCTCTTAATTTGCTGTTTGGAAAACACCAAGAGAAAACGAAGCCGGAGGGGATCTTTTGCAAGAAAGTTCTCAGGTCCCACCCAATCAATCCCAAATCCAACACTCGGAATTTGATGCAAAAGACTTTGGTTTAGAGTTAACAAATTTGGAAGGTAGGAATTTAAGATGGATTTGAGAAATGGGGGCAGCTCTGAGCCCTTCCACTCCAACGTCCACCCACTTCTGGGTACCCCCGTTTTTATGCACTTCGTCCACCAGATCCTTTCTGACCTGCATCCATATCACTCAACGGGTTGATCCCAATCTACCTTCTGCCCACCCTGGTAAAATAAGGGCTACAATCCTGCACCCCTTTTTAATCGGAGCAGATTCCTTTGAACATGCTGGGACATGCTTTGGAGTAGACATATCTAGGAATCCTATGCACAGATATGTGTTAAAAATTATAATATTTATGGAATGATTGGAGTCCATCCATTCTTTAGGCACCAGAACAGAACAGAAACCCATATATTTCACAGTTACTTAAAAATGTAACGTTCCTGAATGCATATGTGTATCTTTAGCATAAGTAGGTATATATATGATGTTAGTTATGTATAACACTGTGGATACAATATAATTTGGGAAAATGCAGGCACAATCATCCCTAAATAAATTAAAATCCTATCACTAAATAGGCATTGTGACCTAGAAGTGATGTTTGAAAATGTGGGGAATACGTTTTAAGGTTCAAAAGCACTCCGGGTCTGATGCATTTTGACAGGTTTCCAATCACATATTTGGACCCCCTGTTTAGTGGGCAAACAGTAACGCCGCGCACGGTCTTGTTCAAAACGGTTTGTCGCTATTGTAGACCCGCACTGGAGGAAAAACACCAAATCTTAGGAACAAGGAAAAGCTCATAATAATGTTAGATCTGGAAGGATCACCGAATCCAGACCCTGTCAAGAAGGCATGATCAGGAATCGAATTCCCAATCTCTGGCTCCACAGCCAGAGTTCTAAACCCCTGAGCTATCCAGTGGTTTGTTAAGAACAATCATCATCATCATCTTAGAACTGCAGAACTGGAAGGGACCCTATAGATCCTCGAGTCTAGCCCCTCTTAAGGAGGCCCGGTGGGGGATTTGAACTCTGGTTCCACAGCCAGATCGCCTCAACCCCTGAGTGACCCATACGGCTCGTTATGCATGTATTGGCTATATTTTTACCCCACCTTTCCACCATTAAGCTTAAAATGGCTCCTTGATTCCTCTTTCTTATCGCCTCGTCCCCATGGGGTAAGCCAGGCTGAGTGTGTGTCTGACGGACGCATGAAGATGTGAACTTCGGTCTCTCTGCTCCGGTCCGACGCTCTAACCACTGTGCATCACACCAGTTATCTTATTGTGTTGTAGTTTTTTTGCTTCACAAAGCAGCAAACTTAAAAAAAAACAGATGGCTCCTTGATTCCTCTTTCTTATCGCCTCGTCCCCATGGGGTAAGCCAGGCTGAGTGTGTGTCTGACGGACGCATGAAGATGTGAACTTCGGTCTCTCTGCTCCGGTCCGACGCTCTAACCACTGTGCATCACACCAGTTATCTTATTGTGTTGTAGTTTTTTTGCTTCACAAAGCAGCAAACTTAAAAAAAAACAGTAGCAAAACATGCAGGCACTCACTGCTGTTGTAACTTCAAAAGGAGAGAGAGAGAGAAAGAAGGAAAGGAAAGATAAGCATATGGAAATCATAGATAAACTGATACTCTGTCCTCGGGCAATTAGGTCGCCATGCGCTTCCTCAGCAATGTTGGGGTTGAGCTGTTGTCTTTGCCTCTGTTTTTGACCTGGGAGTCCAGGGACTTTCATGGCTCAATGAGGACTAGAATGTTAATCTGAGGAATCCTTGGCCACTGCTCTAACCAGTAGACCCCACCGTTTGTACCCTGAGACCCTGGGATAAAATACGGCTGTTATCTCCTCCGGGTTGGGTCCCCAGATCTGATTCCATTCCTTATCGTGCGTTGGAGGATCTGATCGGCCACCGCTCGTTGTGATTTGTATCGTTCTTCACACACACACAGACACACAAGCTCCTGCCGTGTTCTTCGGCTTTCTCACGTTCAGGCTGAAAAGGCCACCCAGAAATGGAGAAATGGCAAATCTGGGTTGGGTAACATGAATGTCTGTATGTTTTAAAGCATTCACTCCCAGAATCCTTGGAATTTTCATTTTTTAAAAAAAGTAACTTGTCCAAACTCTAAATGGGGAAGCATTGGACACCACTAGAAACTGCAGAACGTGGGCTTTTATGGGATGATCTGATTTTTGTTACCTGGGAGGGCAGCTGAAATTGACAAGCTCAAAAGATATCCAGATCATTCAAAAGGATCACAAATTTCGACTAGGACTGTTAAAAAAATCATCACATTTCACCCTCTTCCACATTTTATTTTATTTTATTTTAATTCAATTCCTTCTGTTCCCAAATACGTATTATTATTATTTTTCAAAAGTGGAGGAATTCATCAAAAACGAATATGAACATTTTCACTCCTCAAATTCCACTGGGACCTCGATTTTCAGCATTAAGAGAACGGTGCCGAATTTCCTCGCCTGCCCTTTGGATATTTAAAATGAGCAGGTCTTCAGAACCAGGAACCTTAAATCAGCCAAAGATCTGACTTTGAATCCACAGGGTTCAGATTTTTTTTTTTAAAGCAGGCCTCTTCGCCTCTATGGACAAAATCTGTCGGTTTGGTTTCCTTGAACCTTCAAATTGCTATCCTCTTCGGCTCTTTCCATTCTAAATATCAGTCCATTTGCAAACTTAGAGGGCAAAATCTTATTTTAAAAAAAAGCAAATTTATCTTCCATTTATAGTTTCAATCAGGAAGGGAAAAGCAGAGAATCTTAAGTCTCAAGAGGTAGAACTGAGTTCACATTTTTTTTCCAGAACTGCTCCTAGCAAAATTTGTTTTTACTGTTACTGCATTGAGCAATTGTTACAGAAAATGCAAACGATCATGCAAATAAGCAAGGTTTTATTGCCGTCTAGGGCATTTGGCTAAACTCTTTCCATGGATTGTGTGTTACTGTCAAGGAATACGTTTCGGTGGGTGGAAGTAAAGTGAAAAACTAGCTGTAAGAAATAAAGGGGGGGTGGAATCACTTTTCAGGGTTTCTGTGCTGTTTTCTGCTCTGCTTTCTTGTTATATCAAAAGTCGGAAAGATCAGGGTCAATTTGGGTCAAGATCAGTCTCATGGGACATTATTGCAATCTATCAGTTCTGCGCCCTGAACAACATCTGTCCAGATAATTCCCCCAGTAACTTAGAATCTGCCTTTAAAAATAACTTTAAAGGCCAGCCCTCCTGGGGCTGATGAGAGTTGGAATCCAATGCCATGCTTTGAGGATCATCATAATTTATGCTCTGTCCGTCAGAGGCATTAACGGTGCTTTACACCACAGAAGAGATCTCTGCCCCAAGGAGTTTACAAACCAAATAGGGAACAGGGCGGGGAAGATAAAAGAAGGCGGGGGAAAAGTGGATGTCGGTGTTTAAAAGGGAGCGTGTGTGTAAGCGGAAGAGGGCAGGTCTCTGCCTCGAGGAGCCTACAATGCACAATTCAACAGTCCAGAGGCTTTTAATTGTTTAGGGCACTGCATGCAAAACTTACCTTTTTAGCCATGCTGGCTAAACCTTTTGGTGATTGTAGTCTCAATCATTGAGAGACCACGTTTTCTTCCTTTATAGGAAGACACAGGAACCGTTTATTTACGGCACCAATTTATTTTCTGTGGCCGGGTTCTGAAATTCTGGTGAAATTTATTTGGCTGCCTTCCAGAAGTATTCACAGGAGAATAGCTTCAAGTTTCCCAGAGAGTCCACCCCTTTCTCATTAACTGCTTCTTAACGTCTTGGTAACTCATTCTGAGACATTTGTCGGAGAAAGATTTTAAACATGTCCTTACAGTACTTCCAGTTGTGAACAGATCAATGGCGAACTAACACATGATATGACCTCAACGGACTGAAGAGAGGGGAAAGAGAGATAGAGATTCACAGAGGAGAACAGCTACAGGTTCCCCAGACAGTCCATCCCTTTCTCCTTAAGCGGCATTTAAAGTCTCGATAACTCGCTCTGAGACATTTGCAAAAGAAGAAACAAAAATATTTCATTACTTACAGTTGTTAATGGATCAACAGCAAACTTGCAAACCCAAACTGACTTGAACAGTCTAAAGAGAGGGGCAAAGAGGGGTGGGCCTCTCTTTAAATTCAGAGGTGGGAAGCAATGATTGGTTAGTGCCGGATAGATTGATAGGCACCTCAGCCCCACCCACAAGAGTCAGCATGCAAGACTGTAAAACTTACGGATAACTTTGTTCCCCTCTCTAGATCTCTGATGACGGAGTGAGAAGGACATGCCTCGGTCTTTCCTGGTTAAGAGTAAGAAGGCCAACCAGCCCCGTGTTGTGGACGACGGCTTCCTGGTGCCGAAATGGGATCCGGAGGAAATGGCGCCCCCCTGCTCTGGTGGTAGGTCAGGAGATTCTGCTAAGAGTGGGGCAGAAGCCATTGTAGAACCGTTAACCAACAACGTGGATCCTTGGGATTTTTGCAGCCCCGTTGGTGAAGACTAGGTTCCGTGATACTGGCCTTACGTGGGTGGGTGGAAGCATGCACACCCCTCAGGGCGGGTGGGTTCACACCTTTTTCGGCAGGTTCGCACCTTTCCAAAGGCAAAATTTTGCATCCTCTAAATTTGGCCACGCTGGGCCAAATCCCCAGCTGCCTGGCCTTAGTCACACCTCTGAACGATAGTGAGGCTGCAAACCTTTTCCAAACATGGATGATGGGCATTGTGGTCTAATATAAGCTGGAGGATGTTTAGGACAGGAAGACTGGGCTATGGCGGCTGCCCCTTTGAAAGAAAATAAGGTGAAAATAAAGATTCTTTCAAACGAAATATTCGTATTGCTATTTGTTCGCGTTTTTGCACCGATGGGACTGGAATTCTGCATCAAAGCGATGTGCTTCCTATCTCTGTACTGGACATTTTTAACCCCGCCAGATTTATCAGTTCGTTTTTTGTTCCACTTTGCACCAGAGCCATAGCGCTACAGCGCTTCCCTAGCATTTCAGCATTGGTAAACTTTGGCTGAAATCCTGTTGCTCAGTTTAGTAAGTGACACTACACTACACCAGCCTCATGGGGATTAGGCGAGTCAAGTTGTCTGTAAGTTCCATGGATTCAAATGGGTCTCCTCTAGCTGACACTTACTTTATTGTAGCACATTCCAACTCGCTTAGGCCCATTCGAATCAGTGGAACTTAGGAGTTGACTCATAAAATCCCCATGGATTAAGTGGGTCTAGTGTAAGTTACTAGGCTGTGCGACAGGATTTCAGCCATGAAAGAGGAGATGCTGATATAGCCTAGAAAAGCACATATCTATTCTAGGTAGTTCTTCTCAGCCAATTTTAAGTTAAAACATTGTGCTGTTCTAATATTGCAGTGATGACGGACAGCGTTCCTGATGAGACCAAAGCATTAAACCCCGGTTACCCACAATGCTTTGCTCCCAGTGAAAAGAATGATCCGCACAGTGTCAAAGAGGATGGTTTCCAAGCCAAGGCGATGGACCGGACAGCATCAGGGCCTCCAACTCCAGGTAAGAAACATTAGGCTACAAAAGCTTAGTTAGAGAACAGGCTGGGTCAACCTACACGGCAGGATGAGGAGAGGATGATGGTAAAGGCCTAACGACAGAGCAGAGCAGATCCCATTGCTTCACGGGCGGAACGCCACTTCTGGCTCTCCCCAGATGAAAAAGAAGCACTCGCCTCCTCGCAAAGGGAAAACTAGCCCTTCAGGAAGGGAAGTTCTAATCTTGATGGACTAGATTTCTATTGGCAGGGAATTACGAAGACTGGAGAAAGCTTTAAAAAAAAGTGATCTGCCATCCGTGGGATAAAATTATATTGTCTAGGTGTCCTGTCCCGACAATGAACACACTTGGGACATTTTGTCATTTTGCCAGCAGGATGTAGGGAGTCAGAGCGCAGAACTAGAACGCAGAAGGCCCAGATTCAAGTGCTGCAGAGCTATGACATGTAGGGACCATTCCTTTTTTCCCCCCAGCCTGGCCAACCTCGTAGGGCTATTAAGAGGAGAGAGCCAACAGGAACGAGTGCCCATGTAAATTACTTTTTTTGCCCTTACTCCAAAGAATTTTATGTTATAGATCAAACTATGTTCAAGTTATATTATATTAAAAAATCCAAAATAAAATAAAAAGTATACCAGTTTAGGCTGGAGATGGGAGAAACACCATTACCATCAGCCTCACCAGTATTTCCTACACTGTAGGAGAGAGACCGATCAATATTATTTCTAAGAAGGTTGTTAAAATGGTGCATTGCAATGGTGTGATCATTATTTCCCCCTCTCTCTTATTTAAAAATCTTCTCTTCTTTCTTATCAGAACTACCCGTGCCGGCACCGAAATCTCAAAACTGCAGCCCTGCGGGAAATGTTCCTAATTTCTATAAATCTAATTTCACTTGGGATACATTACACTCTCCGTACAGCTACCGGCCAGTAACGTCTGCCTTTCTGGAACATTCTCTTCACTTGTATGGAAATCCCCCACACCTGCTGGCTTCCGAATCGCCGCTAGATTACAGCATGCGATTCTCACCGGACATGGAGACATACTGCTGCGTAATATGTAACAAAGTGAGCGATCAGGGGCATGGAAATAACTCACTTTGCATCACTGTTTATAAAGGCTTGCACCTCCATTTTGAAGTACCATAGGACCCCTGTATCAACGGTTTCACTTATCCACTGCGTGAAAATATTAAAAATATTAAAAGAAAAAAAATCTAGAAATATGTATTTTCATGATGTGTTTACCAGAACTGGCCACTAGACGGAGGTGAGACCAAGCTATATATTCTTTTTGTTTGAGAATGTATAGTGTGGTTTCTGTTTTTCTCTAGTGACCAGCTCTCGTGTTACATGGTGAAAATTTGTATTTCTGATTTTTGTTTCTTCTACCATGCTATGTATAATGTTTGCTATTATCCACAGCTTCCTGCATCCACAGGGGGAGCTTTGAACCAACCCCCCCCTCAGATACAGGGGTCCTACTGTAATTAAGAAATATGACTTAGGGTCAAAGTGGACATCACGGAAAATGTGTACTTCTTGGGACTGATTCGTTTTTCTTCTCATAATGTGATTTACGCAGAGATGCATGACTCAGAAGTCAGGCTTGGAAATTAAGCCCGTGTTTACCTTCCAATGACCAATCACAGAACAAAGCATGCTGGAATGCTAGAGACGGAGTGAAGCAATGCATGAGCTATGACAGGTAGACCTAACTCACCAATTGACCTAGCACCTCTTCTACATACGTGCTAATCTCGTTGTCCAGTTTGACCCAAAAGTAATACTATAATTGCAATATAAATACCGTAAGAATAGCTTTACTGTAACAGCATGCATAGTTTCACTTCCTATATAAAGATATGCAGTCTCGTTAGGTTTGTTCTTTGTTTCCTTATGTTTCATAGCTTTTTGATGTTTTGAAAGTAACTAACTTTTAAGTAACTTTCAAGTAACTGTTTCTTCTGAGTAACAAAAAAAGTATAGTTTTGTTTTTGAAAAATAACCGTTACAACGGTACACAAATATTCGTTGGCCTTTTGGAACTGTTACTGCTTACTAATTACTTTACAAAAGTAACTTTTCCAATCGCCGTGCGAGGCAAATGCTTGTAGGTTTTTGATACTTTACTCGGTTCCCTTCACTTCTAGCTGTATTTCTCTGTTTTAAAATGGGAAAGCAGCAGAAACAACTGTCAGAAAACAGGAAGAATCACCATTTTTGTTCCCTTTCCCAGATATTTTCCACCCCTCACGGTCTGGAAGTCCACGTCCGAAGGTCACACAGCGGGACGCGGCCCTTTGCATGTGGGACCTGCGGTAAAACCTTCGGGCACGCCGTGAGCTTGGAACAACATACCAACATTCACTCTCAGGTAAGCCAAAGAAAATACTAGATTCGCACTCGCAGCTGCAAATAATTCTTTCCCTTTTTGAACTCTTGACCTTCCGGTCCGCAACCAGCCTCCATGGCCGCCGTCTTTGTACGGCCTTAGGAAAGGTCTCCCTGTTGGCCATTGTTCATTCTCAACATTTCATATTTCCCGCTCGTCCGAGGTGCTTTACTGAGGAAAGACGCCTTCCCACCGTTTCAAATTAAACACAAAGAACAAAAACCACAGCAAAAATTCAGCGCGGACCATGATAAAATACTAAAATTCAATATATGATTCTGTTCGACCATTGACCGGAATAAAATAAAACTTCTGTTGCTCAGGGAAAACCTCACTGGAGATTAAAAATTGATTTGACTGATTGACATGGACACGTTTTCTCCTTGTTTTTTCCTGAGTGAGTTTTCAACAGCAAAGAAACCCAACCCTCCATGTGTGTCAGAAACAAATTTCAAGTTTGTTCTCAACTTCCCATTCTCTCACGCTGTCGGAGATCAATAACGTTCTTGAAAGCTGGTGTATTAGGAATACAATAAATAACGGGCATGGATGTCCACCATCCCACATATACAAATCTATCCTGTACCAGGATACCCCAAATTCGTATCCATTTGCTCAAAGCGAAGACAAGCGGAGAGTTAGATGTAAATCTGTTTTTATTGTTGTTTCTTGTCATTCAATAACTGGTCTGACCTTCTGTCTCTCTGGTCTCCCCTCCGCAGGAGAAAAGCTTTGAGTGCAAAATGTGTGGGAAGGCTTTCAAGCGCTCTTCCACACTGTCCACGCACCTCTTGATCCACTCAGACACACGGCCTTACCCTTGCCAGTATTGCGGGAAGCGCTTCCATCAGAAGTCAGATATGAAGAAACACACTTACATCCACACAGGTGAGGACAACTGCAGTCTGGATACGGCCACTGCACACGGGCGTGTGTCTGTTGCACCGGTTGCATGGGTATGCGACAGACAAGATGCCGATGCTTGGGTTGGTTTCCAAAATCCCCGTTTTTTGCCCCCTGATGGTTGCACGACTGCCTTCCAGCTTCTACTCTGTACGGTGGGCTATTGAGCGCTGGTTTCTCCTATAGGGGCTAGCCCAAAGAGGAACATCATATTGGTTCTTAACTTTTCCCTGTCCTTCCGTCGCAGGAGAGAAGCCGCACAAATGTCAGGTTTGTGGCAAAGCCTTCAGCCAGAGCTCCAACCTCATCACGCACAGCCGCAAGCACACGGGATTCAAGCCGTTCAGTTGTGACCTTTGCGGGAAAGGGTTCCAACGGAAGGTGGACCTGCGGCGTCATCGGGAAAGCCAGCACACCCTTAAGTGAGGAAAGAAGCAGGCTCGGCCCCGGAGTTCCACCGCGGCGGGGTTAGCAACCTGCGGCCCGCGGGCCAAGTCCTGCCCAAATCCTTGGCCCAATTCACAAAGCCCCACCCACCTTTTGCTAGGCTCCACCTCCGCCCACTCTAACCACACCCACTGAATTGGGCGGGTTTTGATAGAGAAAAAGGTCCCACCATTTCCGAGCGAAAGGCAGACAGAGAGATCTTCTTTACTCTTTTAAGAAACTCTTACCTAACGTCTCCGTGAGGCTCTTAGCTTCATATCAATCTTCCTCGTTTAGAGGCTAAGGGACAGATTAAATACTGGCCAGTATTTTAACAACACAAACAGCTGTTTTGTAGACCAGGACACACCATCTACCTGTCTTAAGAGCCGTCACATAATATCAAGCGCTGAACGATGGCATCTTCCCTATAGGTTTTTTTTTTATTTTTCTCGGATTGATTGTCTTCAGAACCACCCCTGCCTTTAGACAGAGTTAAGGCAACGGCTTCAGACATCAGCACCAACCTTTCTCGTCTGCTATTTTCAAAGAAACAACAATAATTGTAAATATGTGTTTATGCTTGTAATCACGTCTATATGCACATTGTTTTCCAATAAACAAAGGCAATCAGAATGTCTGCAGATGGTTGGTATCTGGCAACAAAGTCGCCGAAGTGCTTATTTACAGATTATTTCTTACTAACCTGCCACAATCTACGTATTTTACATAATATAATAGTAGCCTTAGAACTGCAGGGCTGAAAAAGGCTATGGATCACCTGTTCTAGCCCCTATGATGTCATGTGCAAATATTTGCCATCTTATAGCTCTCTCTTATGTCTGAGGAAGGGGCTTTTATCCCTGAATGCTCACATCAAAATTGAACAATTAGCCTTTAAGGAGCCACATGTTGCCTTTTTTTTCAGTTGGATTCTGTTTGCCTTGAGCTAATCTGTTTTGACATATGACTGTCACACCCATATCTCTAAGATATTCCTATGGTTTCATGCTGCGGAATATGGCTCATCTCACACCATAGGGTCCTAAACCCTATTAAATAACTGGCGCTGACGCAGAGGGTTCTTCTAGGTAGCTAATCCATGGGCAAACCAATATATATTTTCGTTTCAGAATTCCCTGGCTAGCACGATTGTAATTTACAAAGCCCCTTGAAGTGGTATAGTGCAGGACATTAAGTGTTCCAAAATGGGGTTAGGACAGCACATCAGCTAAAAAATTGCTTTTTGATCCTCATCAATGACATTGTGTTACTATTCCCACCCCAGGAAAGGTTTAGATTCATGTTGAAAATTATTCTGTTAATAAAAAAATCCTGCAACACATGGCTTAGCCAAAACAAGGAAATTTGTTAAACTTTACCTGCAAACCAGGAAAAAAAAAAGGCTAATCGGACAGCTGGCTTCCCTTCTGTTCTCAGGAACAAATGATCTGGTGTTCTAGGACATTTCCATGACTATCAGTGATTTACATGAGGGAGTGAAGAGATTATACCCTGCTTTTCAACCTGTGTCTTCCCAAAATATTTCTTCCTACTTCCTTTTTCGTCTCCGGCTACTCGTACCGTTCTACTCGCTGCACGAGCTGTGTGCAAAATTCTGGGGTCCGGCAGAGATCAAAGCAGAAACTATTTTCATTTTAGAGGACTCAAGTATCTAGTCCTCGTGGAGATCACAGAATCTGGGAATGATGGAGTTGGAAGGGGGGGTCTCTAAGGCCATCAAATCCAACCCCCCTGGCTCAAGGCAGGAATCAAAATCAAAGGAGATCGGAGAGAAGGTGGTCCAACTTCCTCTTTAAGATCTGAGAGCTTAATAAAATTCAATTCCCAAAATCACAGGAAAATTTCCGTCCGATGTATGCGCTTTCTTTTGGTGTGTGTGTATTGACTGGTTGTAATGTGTGTGTTTTTTAAGTACAATGTTCTGCATCTACTATATATCTTATAGAACTGCTAAATTCATTCAACAAGGCATGGAAAGATGAAATTCATTGGCTGTTTCACAAGTTTTAAAGTTAACCTCGCAACGTGATACTACTTTGAGAATGCTTTTTTTATATTACTATTAGGTTATGCTTTTCTGACTGTTTATAGGTACTTACATGAGATGCCGAAATACTATGTTTAAGACTGATTTAATCTATCCACTTGTGTACAGCCTGGATGGGCCATCAAGTCCTAAAATGTCCAGTATTTTGCAATGTGGGCTCTGTTTTAAGGTTTAAATAGAATCTTTTAATGACCTTAAGCTGCCTTTGAATACCCATTGTTTAGCTTTAAATATTGTCTTTCAAGGAGGTAAGCCGCCTGGGGCCCTTGTTAAGGAGACAGGCGGGTACAAATAACTTAAATAAATAAATAAAAATAATTTTTCCCTCCTAGCTCCTTACAATCCATACTTTTATAATTTTCCAAGGGAGCGAAGAACTTTTCCCCTGTAATCAGTCCAAGATCGGAGGGCTAAAAATAAATGGAAAGCACAAACACACAACCCCCCCCCCTTTCTTGGCAGAGTATTGCAAACATTACTTTGCATACTCCTTCATTTGCTAACCAAAGCAGTCCAAATATTAGCCCCCTCTTCTCTCTCAAACAGAGGGAAAGAAGGTGTCGAGCAGGTTTGTGGCAAGCTCAGACAATCCGCTCCTCTGTTCCCCAAACTTTGTTGAGATTTTGGCACTAAGGTGAGTTCTTGAGTGACAGCTCGGTGACTAGGATATGGCAGCAACTGGCCAGGGGGAATGGAGGGCTGTTGGCAGTGGTGGGATTAATATTTGCATATCGAGAGCAGGTGCTGCCTTCCTGCAAAAGTGAGCTGACCCCAGTCCCTGGAGGATAAAACTAAAATAAAATAATACGCACATTGTCCTCGTTCTCCGACATTCTGTTAGCCCCAATGGACTACCGGATGCTTCTGGGAAGCCTGCAAGCACGCCAAGGCCATCAAACAAAGCCGAGGGAGGTTAGGGTCAATGGAATATTTTAAATAAATAAAAAAAATGAATACAACGAAAAGAAGCAGAATCATGCCTGTCCTCCGAAGCTCACTCAAAAAAAAAAAACAAAAAAAAGTGAGGAAGCAAGGGTGAAAATCATCACTCAATACGTGCTTCGGCAAGGGAGGAAATAGACACCAGGAGAACAATCAATGTGTTTTGGGAGAGAAAGTGGGTGGAATAAAATATAAACCTATTAAAAAATGGAGCCTAGCCCCAAAGTGAATGGGTGAACGAATAGGTTTAAGAGGAATGAATTAATGGAACGCAATGTAGAAGTGTTTTCGGTTTGGTTCATGTTGTTTTTGATATAATATTTTCATTGTAAAATGAAGATCATCAGTAAATTCAGGAGCCTTTCGTTGTCAGGTTGGTATGGGTCAAGGTTTGGATAAATGGCAATGCTTGATTCTCTCTCTCCCCCCCCCCAAAAGCTTGCAGGCAAAGGGAGATGATGGAAACGAGAGCCTTAAAATCTGAAGCAGAAGACAACTTTGGCTGGACTTATCAGGCGTTGCCAGCTGCTAACCGTCGGGCTGCGAAACAGGCTTGTTTAGGGAGGGGGAACCAGCTCATAAAGCGAGATAGGTCAAACCCTGGCCTTATCAGAGCCGGGTTTGAACACAGAGATCCTAAAAGGATCTTCCTTCCCAGTCCACAACCGACAGATCAGTCGCTGGGACCAGAGGGGGGCAGGAAGAGGACAACCAAGATGACCGCCACGGTTCGGAGCCCTTTGTACGGAGATCCGAACGACAGGCCGCAACTTAGTACATCTGGCGCGTTTGAACAAGATGGTTCCAACGCATGCAGACATCGAGATTTTTCTTGATACTCAACAGAAATCTGTCTTTCTGTTGCCTGAGCCCATTATGATGTGTCCTACCCTCTGCAATGATCGATAAATAGATCCTGCCTCTCCTCTGTAGGACGACCTTCCAAGTCTTTGAAAAGGGCTCTCCTCTCTCCCCTCTGTCTTCTTTTCTCAAGTCTAAACCTGCCCAAATTCTTCCCACTTTGAAAAGGGCTCTCCTCTCTCCCCTTCATCTTCTTTTCTCAAACCTGCCCAATTCTTCCCGTCTTTCCTCCTAAGACTTGGTCTCCAGCCCCCTGATCCTCCTTCTTGCCCTTCTCTGAACTTCCAGCCCCTTGATCCTCCTTCTTGCCCTTCTCTGAATTCGCTCCAGTTGGTCGCCATCCTTCTTAAAGTGCGGTATCCAGAACCGGACACAAAACTCAATATGAGATCACGTTTGAACGTCTATAGCCAGAGGACTTGTTGACCTTCCAGACCTTGTTCAACCACACACCCCATCATTCTTTACCGTTGGATTGCATGGTTTATAGAGTGCTTCAGAGTAGCAAACTCTATGGCCTCTGAGACACCACTAAAAAGCAAATTATGCCTATATTGCAGGTTGAGTCACAGCTAGGTGAGAACACCTTTCAGAGTGTGGACCGTCAACTGGAAATCAGGATGGGTGCACACCTGAGCATGCAAGAGGCTGAGCCTAATCCCTATGCATGGATGAATGGGTGGGTGGGAGTCTTCCAAACAGATCCCCAGAATCCTTTGCAACACAGAGCAGTTCAAGTTGACATCAAAACTGCTCCCCATAGATGATTCTCTCCCCCCCCCTGCCCTTTTCTGGGTTATTTCAAAAAACGGGATGGCTTATCTCCTCTCCTAATTTTTTGAGTTCTGCTAGCGTCTTGGGCTGTAGTGCGGAAAGCACATCCACTGCTTTCCTTTCTGGTCCACACAAGTATCTGTTGGGAACAGGAAGCTTAAGGGGAAAAAAAACAACCACCACCAAAAACAGGATCCTGCACAACCACAACTTAATAAAGCTATTTCTCAAAGTGTATCCCACAGCATCCTGTTCAGTCAGAAAAAAATATATGATGTGTTATATAGAAATACTCCCCTAATAAATAAATGCTGTCTATTTTAAATTCTAGCCATTTTGGAACTTGTTATATATATGGTTATGAAGAAGCTGTTTTGTTGGCTTTGTGCATGGACTCAATGTTTCATTGGCCTTTGGCTAAAATTTGAGTAAAAATTCATAAATAACCTTAGAAACTCTGGATGCTTGAGTCCAGCCCCCATTAAGGAGGCACTGGGGGGAGGAATTCGAACTCCTAACCTTTGGTTCCACAGCCAGAGACCTCAACCTTGAGCTCTCCAACAGGATGAAACACCTCTTTGTAAAGGAAAAAAATGACACACACTTTTTAATTAAAAAAATTGAGTCCCCTGGCACCTTTAATGCTAATTTTTTCATCTGAAATTTCATACAACTTGTCCCACATTTTAGATGATGTGCTGGTGAAGGAGTCTCCCCCCACCCCTGAACCCAAACCCTGGTCTCTGCGCTGAACTCCTCAGAAATGAAACCTTTCTGAACGCCCATCGTGAGCGGGGAAAAAAAATAACAAAAAAGGAGGGCTTTTTTTAAAAAACGGTTTTATCACAGCTCGGCACCTGCCTTGGTTATTCTATGCCTCCCCCTTCCTTCGTGATTCAGCAAAATCTTCCCCGAGGAGGAGAAAGACAAAAAAATGACAAGTCCCATTTGGAGCAAATCACTAAGTCAGATTACGGCCGGCCGACAGGAAGAAAACGGCAACGCAGGACAGCGCGATAAGGCGGCCAGAGTGGTCACACCGTGCCATGACTAATGAAGCTTATTAATAAACGCTGGTCTGTGTCTCGCACCCAAGCCCCACCTCCGAAGAGAGAGAGGGAGGACGTTTTGGGACAAGGCTTTTATACGGACAGCCAGTCACTGAGAGAAATTCTTTAATAGGCATAATAAAAATGCTTGCTGTGGTTTCGGAAGCAGATTTCTTTTGTTGAAGAGCACCTCCTGGTGTATGCAAAGTCAAAATAAGTTTCGTGTCTCAACATTCTCACAACTAAGGGTGGGACTGCCTTGGAAAGCCAGTTCGCAGCTTGTATAAATCAGAAAAATAATGGATCCTTCAGCATATGGCTTTGCAGTGAGTTCGAGGCACATGATATTTTACAATATTTAGATGCAATCCTCCCTTAGCCGTGGTCAGATCACAGATCTCATTTGCACCCACAAACTCCACCACGGAAATCATGCGTTCTTCAGTGAGCAGCTTTGAATAGGTGCAAAAACTGGGTTACGAGGCACGGATCCTCATGGATCCACAAGATTTTTCTGCAATATCCTCTCCAAAGCAGGGTCTATCCATAGGTCCCCCCCACCTGCACCCACGGGCTGCAACACAGAAATCAGGGGTCCTTCAGCACACAGCTATGTTGTGGTGCAAAAACAGGAGACGAAGCCACAAATCCTCATGGATCCACGTGGTTTTCACATAATAGCAAACCACTGCCAAATAGTAGACCCCATTTGTACACACACACACTACAATGCACAAATTATGGGTCCCTCAGTGGGAGAAACGGGAATGGGAGGGATCCTCGTGGTTTTTATGAGGAAATCCATCTCGCCATGAACTTGGGGAATTTTCGTCTAAGAGCAACTTTCTTGGTGAAATCCATCTTGCCACAAACTTTTCGTCTTTCCCGGCAAATTCCATCTTGCCACCAACTTTTGGATTTTTGTGTGTAAGGGCAACTTTCCCGTGAAATCCATCTTGCCA